GACTTTAGAAGGAACCAGAAACCCAATCCTAAACAGGAAACAAGGACAAACTTCTATTTATGTTCAAAAGACCAAGGAAGAGTGTGAACTGGACAATAGGTGAACCTATTGGTGGAAGAGAGAAAAAAAATAAAATGAAATAAATAGAGAATAAAATTTTGCAGATGTTACGGATACAGATAAAACTCACTGAGGTGATGTTTCAAAAGCATGTACAATGAGAAAAGAATTACAAACTTATCTTTTTTCCTTGGTTTCCCTGAAAGTCTTTCAAGAATCTATAAGGACGTTGCATCTTTTAAATTACCTGAAGTTGCAGCCTTAGTAGGCCTTGTAAGTACCATATAGTTTGAACACCAGTAAGATGGCTAAGCCAATAACTATTGGTCACTAGTAAGTATAGCCCAAAGACAATCCAAAATAGAAAAAACAATGGCAGCTTTACCAGATTTTAATCATTATTTTTCTTTTTTCTTGCCTTGTTAGATCAAGACTTTCATATGGATGTCATGCCTGGTGCCAAACTTGTTCAGAAATATCTAAACTGTCAGCTGTTTGTAACCACTTTCTTAGGTCAATGGTTAAAAATAGTTTTGAACAAATGAAACCTCAAGGTCTCAGAAAAGTCCATCCTTCTTTGAATCTTGTGGACTGGTGCTACAGAATCACAAAGAAATGTAACAACAGAAACTAAATCACTTGAGCACTTTGCAACAAAATGGATAGCATATATAACTTGAAGAGAAAACAATGACAGAATCAAGATGTCGATGTTCTACACTATTTAAAACAAATGGTTAAGAAGGAAGCTTCCATCAATTCCGGAAAGAATGATAACAGCTACTGGACTTGAGAAACCTATTTTTACAAAAAGTCGTTTTAATAGAAAGATTTGATAAATTTCAGCTAATGGTAGCACTGGCTGCTCAGTTAATGAATGCTAAATGTTTTCTTATAAGGAAATGCCTAATATTACCATTCATTTCTCTATTACTTTTAATATCTGTTTTATAGCTTTATTAAAATTCTGTTTTACCAGTTCTAAGGAGAAGGCTGCTGAATGCAACAATTCACTTCAAGAAAAAATTAAAATGTTCTCATACAACAAAAAAGCAGTGTTGATATGAGGTCATGAAATAAACACTTTATTAAATAAAATCCCTAAATTTTTACTCTAATGCTAAATCCTGATATTAAATGAAGGTCAGAAAAATTCAAATAGATAGTTTCATTTTAGCAGATTTCTCAAAAGATCCTATTTTTTTTCCAAGAAGAAAAAAATGTAAAAATACAAATTCAATTTTTGCTGGACACAGATCAATAATAATGGCTTTCATTGGAAACAAAAAAAAAAAAAAAAGAGTACTGAACTGTTATGTTATATCTGTCCTGGACAATCTCATCAAAGATGAAGAAGAGACTTGAAGCAACAGAAATGTAGTTCTATGGAAGAATGCTAAGGATATCATGGATTGAACATGTGATCAAGGACAAGGTTTTGGGGAGAATGGAAACAAAGAGGAAACTTATACTTAAGATCAGGAAGAGGCAGTTGAAATTTCTAGGAATCATAATGAGGAAGGAGGGCTTGAAAAATCTGATACTCATAAGGATGGAGGAATAGAGGGACAGGCTTAAGCAAGTGGATGGCAAAACAGGGTCTGGGAGAAATAAAAAAAAGACAAAACTTATTAAGAGCTATAAGGGACAGGAGGAGGTGGAGGGCCATGATCACCTATATTCTGGAGGGACATAGCACATAAAAGAAATAATGGCTATTGGGATCAGCTTAGCAGCAAGTGTTATAAATGTTGCTTTAACCCTTAAATAACAGGTATCAGCAATTGGTATTTTAAAGGAAATCAGTAGATTGATGATTTAAACATTTTCTAACAGTAGTCATCATTCATTCGTAATTCAAATCTAAACCACTAATTGACATCATTTCCTGGAGTATTTGGCTGCAAATAAGGTTGGAAGAACAAGCCAAAGATTTTGTTATGTCTGTATGTGTAATTCTTGAAGAAAAAAAAGAAGCAAAAATGCTGACAAAAAATGCACAGTTATGTTGGAAGTATCCAAGGAATATCAGATTGTTAAAAAATATTAAATTTATGAACATTTCTTTTTATTCCTATAATCTAAAAATAGTTAAAATCATTTTTTTTATAGTTTTTGTTTATATGTCATCATCATCATCTCTTTGTAATCATAGTGCACATCCAAATGCAGAAGCCACACACTTTTCCACAATGGTCTATTTAGTTTTTTCATGGGCACCCTTTCCTACGTCCATCTTCAATGGTGCCTTGCATGACGGTCTTGCACAGGCTGTTGTGCTTTGTAATGTGCCCAAACCATGTCATTTTTCTCTGTTTGACAGTGGCGAGAAGAGGTTCCTGTGTCCCACAAAACTTTCAACCCCTTTCTGAACAAACTCATTTTTTCCCCCCGCAATAGAAAATGCCAAGGAGTTTTCTCATGCATTTGTTCTCAAATGCTTGGTTCTTTCTCTCTGTATCTGCCAAGTGTCCATGTTTCACATCCATATAGGAGAATGGAGACTACCAGTGATTTATACAGTCTGTACTTTGTTTGAAAGTTGATTTTGCTCCTCTATATTCTTGTCAATTTGGTCATTGCTGTGGCAATCCATGTGCGGATTTTCAAATTGCAGGTACCATGTTTAGACAAGATTACTACCAAGTATTTAAAACTAGACACTTCCTCCAGTGAATTTCCATTCATGTTAATGTTGACGCAGGTGTTACTGTTTCTGCTATTCACCATGATTTTAGATTTCTCGGATTTGACCTCCATTCCATATACTCCTGCTCTTTCAAAACGTTTGTTGGTCAAGTCCTGGAGCTTGCTGTTACTACCTGTTATGAGGTCAATGTCATCTGCAAAACATAAGTTACAGACAGGTCTTCCACCGATAGCAATTGAAGGACCATGATCGTTCAAGGTTTCTTGCATGATTATCTCTAGAAATAAGTTGAATAATGTTGGTGAAAGTACACATCACTGTTTTGTTTATAAGATGAAAATAAGCATAAAAACCTACCTTTTTAAAAAAGCAAATTCTTTCATTTGTGTTTTTTTTTTAACCTGTTTAACATACACATTTAGGCAACCTTTACTTGTCATTTAAAGGTTAAATAAAATTGGATAATTAACTGTTGTAATCGGAATTAATTGTTGAGTTTTTTTATTCTTATTTTCCTTGTGTCCAATTTAATTTGACCTGAAGAAATACTGGGCTATGGAATTTTTAAAATTCAAATCTGTTTCAGTCAGTGGGTTCCATAGTTGTAAGTTTGCAGGGAACAATATTTGGGTCAGTTGTTGTGTTCAGTTAAAAGACAGGCCAAGAATCCCCCCCTCCATCTTAGGTCAGGTGCAATTTTTTAATTTTTTTTTTTTGCACAAAAACAATTATTAGACCAGGATTTCCCAACCTAGGTGATGAGCAACTGTACAGAAAATTGTAGGCAAAATAGGATTTTGATATCTGTCTATATTTCTGAGATGAGGTAGTTTAACAACACTTTACCTTTTTTGGACTGTTGACTTCATCTTTGTCATATTCATGACATTTTGGCCATTGTACACTCTGGACTTCTTCAGGTGATTGGAAATGTTATGAATATGACAACAAAGATGAGGACAACAGTAAATGTAAATAGGATTTTGAGTATTAAAAAGATATTTCAAAATATGCAACCTGAAAAAAAAATCCAAAGGAGATATGCAATATACAAAAGAAGCTGAAAGAAAGAAAAAAAAAAAAAAAGAGGCTAAATGGGAAGAACTAAGTCACAGTCCTAGAGAAGATATAATAAATATCCCCACAAACAAGGAATATTTTGGTATTTTCTATAATTCTGAAAAGGGGTCATTAACATTCAAATAGTTCTTGAGATGAAACATTTTTTTTCCAGGTATAAATCAGATAAGGAAAGACCAGGAAAACCTTAGTCAATTATGAAGTGACATCAGAATAATTTTTATTTAATATAAAATTGTTTTTACTTTTTTTATTTATTATATTGGCCATCTCGAATTTATCAAGGCAGGAAAAGTGCCTGTCAAAACTTAATTTACCCATCACTGCATGCTTTTGAATATTTACTATACAGGTGGGCAATTGAAAATTTTTCCATGTGAAAGTGGGTGACAATGGAAAAAGGTTGGGGACCCTTGTATTAGACCTTCATTCTAGACGTAAACCAGTTTCTGATGTACTGATTGAGGCACATATTTCATACTATGCCTTAAATTAATATATCAACTGAAAATGAAACAAATTAGATGGGAATTATAGTTTCACAATTATGTTTAAAAAAATTTAAACATGTTTTTTAAGATAAAATCACAAGGTTAAAAGAAAACAAAACATTTAAATAAACGAAACTTCAAAGGCTGATTGTATCAAATTTATAAGAAATAAACTTATTACAAAAAAGATGCTGTACAAGGAATAAAGATCTGAATACATTTGTACTTTTATTTTCTTAAGTACCTTTTATCTTCATTTACTTTTGTTTATTCTTTGCAATTATGTGATGTGCCTGTGATCAGATGAATTGATCACATCTGTAGCCATTCAGAAAAAAAAAAAAAATGATTATAATTATTTTGAATTTTAAATTACTGAAATCAAATTTTTCTTTTTTTTTTTTAAGTTGAACTCCAACCCATTGTATCTGATATGCTTTAAACATTAACCATGGTTAATTAGACAGCGCTAATTTAAAATTTGTGAACTTAAAAAGAAACACAAAGGGTGATTTGTGAACTTAAAAAACACAAGTGTGATGGCTTGGACAATCCACAAAAAAAAAAGAAAAAAGTGATTTCAAGAAATTACCATGCTTTAAAAAAAATAAAGATAAAAATAAAATGAAAAAACTAAAAAAAGAATCTTTAGAAACCATCTTGTTCGTTATCATCTTGGAATTTTTCAATTTTTTTTTTTTTTTAATTAATATAAATAATTATGATTTCGTTACTGATGTTGCGACTAAAATGTAACCTCCTGTGCCACTCATATTGACTAACGGATGAGTCCTCATATTCAGGACTTGGAATTCTCTGCACCAGCTCTCCATTACACGGAAATTGACCAACCCACCAACTTCTCTGAGTTGAGCATAACACTCCATCAGAGGTTCTTTATACTGAGAATAAACAACAAGCTGTCGGGATGGGGCGAGGTAGCGAATCAAATTTAGGACCAGTGAGGTCGGATAGAACTTACTGGCTACTATAATGCAATCAAGTTTTTTGGTGGTCAGCATTTCTTGGGCCGCGGCCAATTTCTTTAGCTCGATTTCACGTTTCGCTTCTCGATCTTCAAATGTTCCTCGGAATCGTTTCTTTTCAGGTTTGGCACCGTTCACCTGTTCTTTGCTTTTATCCTTGGACCTTTCTTGATTGTTGGGTTGGTTATCCGTCGTAGAAACAACTACTTTAGTGTCCGTCTCCATGTTTTCATCAACATTTACTATTGGTTCAGATGTTTTTGTTGGTAACGTTTCCGAATCATTTTTGCAACCATCACCGATCACCGGAGACGTGATTCCACCATCGTTCGTTTTTTCACTGGTTTCCAAACATTTTGAACTTTCACACGACGATTCTTTATTCGCTGTTGTTGTAGTATTGCTGCCAGCTGTGGTTTCGGTCCCCTCTTTCGTAGATGTATCAACCCCCATTTTAGCCATCTTTTTACAACTACTATCATCGGCAACACCTCCTGTGTTGTTTTTATCGTAGTCTATCAAAATGTTTCCCGTTTTCTTTAACAGATTCAGTTTCTCCATGGGGAAAGAATGCAATGTATTCATATGGTTACGATCAAAGTCGTAATAATCCACAACCGGTCGCATGGGGGTTTGGCCATGGTAAATGTGGATAACGTTACCAAATCCACCAAGTCGTTCCATTACAGCTCCAAGAACTAACCCGAGGCAAGTATCAACTACAGCCACATTACTGTGTGCACGGACATTGGCATGTGTAAGGATCTGGGCCAAAGAATCTGGACGAAGGTGGCAAATCTTACCTGGGCTTTTTGCGAAGTACATTTCTATTAAAAGTCTGGAACTAGGGCGTAATATTATAAACACAGGCATGTGCTTACGTTTCTTTTTTGCTATGTACTTGTCCTGGGCGTATTCTGTCTTTAGTGAAAAAGTAGAACTGTTTTCAATTAGTCGTCCAACGATGCTGTCACCGGTGAGCCCATCTTTTTTCATGGCCAGAATTTCCTCGTGCGAAAGCTGCTGATTGCTGTCTTTGCCAACGATGTGTCTATTATCTATACCTTTGCCGCAATCTGGTATATCCAGTTTTGAGGCTGTAGACGAATCTATCCGACAAATAGATTCGTTTTTCAATTGAAACTTAGAACCGTATGGTTCACCAATGACACCATCCAACGTAAATTTGTGTTTGTCTATGTAAACGAACCGGGTTACACGTACTTGCATCACCCAGAAATTGTCATCGCGTTTTAACACGATGTGGTCCCCTTCTTTGATTAAATCCTTCGGAATCATAGTTAATATTTAAAGTCATATAACAAAAAAAAAAGACCAATTAAATTATGTCTTTTCTTTTCTTTTTTTTCTTCTTTCTATTCAATGACGTTGACTTCCTTCCACCATGTGCGTTAGGCTTCGGGGGAAAAAGCCTAAACGAGTGATCTCCCCCTGCTAAGATCGTTATTGGCTGCAGCCTTTCTTAAAGTTCAGTAAGGACCTCAAACGATTTTAAATGAAATGAATATAATTCTTTTAAAATTCAAGGCCCTAAGAAATAAATATATTAAAGGAAATAATACAATAAATAAAAGAGGTTATAATTTATAATACAACAAATAAAAGATATTATAATTTTGTTTTTTTAATCTATTTTTTCTGATACTAAATGATAATATTAATAAAGATATATATCTTTATTAATATTATCTTTTCAGTATCATAGAAAAAATAGATTAAAAACAAAATTATAATATATAATATTTTATTATTTAATACACTAATTATTTTTTGTCTGTAATATCTATATTTTGCTGTTATCTCTTTTTCATAGATTATTTATTTATAGACTGAAAGAGTCACATGTGAAAATCTAATAATAAGGACTTACCAAATATAGTGTTATTTGTACCAACATAATAAACTAGAATTAATATAACATTCTATTGGACATGAAGTGGAGAATTGGTTTTCTCTTGCTATCAAGTAATAAATAGATGCTCCTAGCATTATCACATATCAATATAATTGGAAAATACAGACTGTTTCAGAAAATTGATATCATTTCATAATTTAAAATCTTGACATTCGAATTTTAACATCATGTGTAGAAACAACTCAAAATGCTATGTTTAATGTTTTATCTTTTTTCCTTTTTAGGTATAGAAATACCATTTACTAGAAAAGAAAAGGTGTTTTGTGTGTCAGAGTTTGCTTGAACACATTCAAACAAAATTGTGCAATGTAGATTAGTGAAAGAATTCACTAAAAATGCGCCACTTGCAATGCAGATTTGGACATGGCACAAAAATGTCTGTCTGTGTAGGGAAAAAGGACCTGGACGACGACCCGTATTGAAAGATATGTTTGAGTGGATTTGGGAAACACTTCTGCAAAGCTCCAGGAAATCCATAAAAAGAACAAATCTGGAAAACCAGATTCCTCCAAAAGCAATTTGACATTTATGAATGACACTCTACAAGTTTGCTTAACATGTGCCATGTCAGAGGTGGTGCATATATTGAAATCCACATATGTTTTAATTTCTAATTCAAATTTTGATGAATAAATCTTATTTTGCTCAATATTAAGCCTGTTTAGTTTCATTTACCTAGACTTTCTCAACCTTTTAACTTTTTTAACTTTAGGGCACACTTGTAGAATAACTGAAACTCTGAGGCACATTTTAAATTTTAATAGAAGGTTGTATTTCATATTTCATGTGGATTAAATAATTCATTCTTTATATGTGAATATATGCACTCTGATGATTTTGCAAATTAGTGAAGTAACTTTTCTTTTTTTTTAATCGAGTTTAACCTATAGTGGGTCAGCCAATTTGTATTGGTTATAAATAGAAATAAAAACTGACCCTCTACAATTTTTACAATATCAAATGTAACAAAGAGAAATAATCAAGTAGAAGGTAAAGAAAGCAAACAAAACAAGACCGATAATATATGTATACACAAATATATATTAATAACAAGTTACAATACATGGAAACAGTACAAAGGACGAAGTGTGTGTGAATATTCTGTATGTGCGTGCGTGTGTGAATATTCTGTATGTGAGTGCGTGTGTGAATATTGTGCTTAGCGTGTTTCCACGCTATCCCTTGTTAGCGACTACATTTCGAGGTTGATAGCTGAAATCCTGAAGGGAAAAAAGAGATAGATGTGAAGAGTCAGCGGCTATTTATAGCCAGGGAAGAGAGACCCCTGGTGAAAGGGTTAACGGACTGAAGGAGGAGTTAACTCCGACAAACCCAAGCAATGCAGTAAAGCCACTAAGCTATAAGTGGTTACTGGATGAGGCAGAATTAGAAAAAGGAAACATTATTCAGCAGTGAGAACAAAAGAAGAGTGATCATGAGGACAGTAGATAGCGATTGACATTGCATTCAAATTTTTGCACATTAAAGTTGACTGGAAAGCATTGAGCCAGAAGGAAGTTCTACAAATGAGAAGTGCAAGAAAAGAAACTGTTACCATTGAACTTATGGTTACATCTAATCAACTTAACTGTAAATTGATGAGATCTCAACACCAGTCTAGTATTGTGCTAGAGAATAATTAAGTTTCTGTTTGCATAAGAAGAAGAATTTGATATTTCAGTCACTGAAGGATTTTTATATTTTTATTACTTAAAAAAGAGTCTCCCAAGTTTCAAAGTACAGATTTTATGAATGTGATTTAGTCTCTAATTTTATAAGATCATAAGGTTTTATCAGCTTATAATTGTTATAACTTGGGACACGCCTGGCTACATTTCAGGATGTGTGCACAGGTTGAAATATACTGGTCTAGACTATACTGTTATTCAAATATTTACATCTCAAATGATATCAATTTTTTTGAAACAGTCTGTATACTGAAAAACCCACATAATCTTCTAAAAATAGCTAGGACTTTAAAAAAATATGCCTTCATTTTTTTATTGCATTCTTAAACTAGTATTGATATAACATTTTACTGGAAGTAGGGGATTGAATTTTTATTGTTAGAAAGTAATAAACTGATCCCGTCATAATTACTACATATTAATATAATAAGAAAATATAGGCAATGTTTAACCTCCATACCCACAAAAAACAGTGTGTCAAAAGGATGGTTTTTCACTTGACACCACTATTATTTTAACTACCTTCACTCCACAGAAATGTTTATTGTTTTAAAAAGCAATGATTAGAATTATAATAAAACCTAAAAATATTGTAGTGAAAAGATGAATGCAGAAATAACTTATCTGAAGTTTTATTTGACTTAAAATGGAGTGTCTGAGCTGGGCATTTAAATACAGACGACATATAAGGGGTGACAATTCATACCACATTCTTTCTCGCTGGTTATTTGTAGGGGATAAAGTCATTACAACAACCTGGTCTTCTGCATGTCCTTTGAGGACATTGTGGCAGTTCATAATCCACAGTCGCTTCTGAAATGACTCAGCTAAGCTTGTTGTCCTGGGTTTGTCTTGCCTACCCGACTTTGAAGTATAAACCTTTGACTTGAAGTGTTTACACATTCTTTGATTTCTAAGCCACTCTGTGTCTGAATTTGAAATAGTAGTGTCCGTTTCAGAGTAGCCTTGTTTATTAGGTGCTAATTCCTCATCAGAATTAAAGTCGTGTTGGTCCATTTGTTCTGGTAATGATTCTGTGTCTGATTTCTCTGGGGGTTTACTCCTGAAAGGGCCAACTCGTTCAGCAACACACATACGATGAAAGTAAATTTATACATTTTTTTTGTTCTTGAGAATTTATAACAAAAATATTAAACACTATTTATTTATTAGATTGTTTATTTACAATAATAATTTTATATTTACAACATTTTAAAAACAACTGTAAAAAAAATAATGTAATATTTATCATTTATCAATTTATAAAGAAAAACATGAAAACAATTTTTTATTCATAAATTTATAAACATTTACCTGAGATCATCAGCTGCAATGTGGTGCAGCTTACAAGCCCATCAAACTATTTTCCTATAGAAATATAACTTCACCATGTATAGAAATTATCTCTGGCTTGCAATCCTCAATTTGGGAAAAGCCCAGTGTAGTAAAACAGAACCAGTGAATAAACTTATACCAAAGCTTTATTTACACTATTTACATTATTCGGACTATTGTCCTCATCTTTGTTGCCATATTTATCACAACGTTTTGGCTGATGTATGCTACAGCCTTCTTCAGGTGGTTGGAATATCGAACTGAACCCTTTATTTCACTCGCTGGGGTAGACTGTTCTAGTTTCACGTGCCATGTCTAATGGATGTCAGTTATCAGTTATTTCCTGTTAATTCTCCTTTCCAAGTTCTCCACTGCCATAACCAGGTATTGAACTCACAAATCTTTGGGTCCTGCCCTTGGATCTAACCAACGCCTTTATCCACTGTGCCATGTGTCCTTAAGGATTTGTGAGTTCAATACACTTTACTCTGACTCCTCTTCTACTGACGGATATAACAGGGTGCTTTTTATACCTCCTAGATCTTAAGGGGAGGTAACTGATGATTTATCAGTACACCCATGACTTGTCTTTTCCTTTTTTTGAGGGGTATATTTTCTTACTAGTGGCATAGAAGATGAATCTAACCCAGATTTGATTCTCATGCCACAAACATCTACATATTCTTTATCAGTCCATAATTTTGTAATATATTTCTAAGTGAAAATAGAAATACTAGGTTGGTTGGTAGATTGATAGATATGTCCAACTTTGTTGAATCATTTGTTGGATTACCGCCCCTGATGATAATCACGGGTGGTGCAATATTTGAAAGGCACACATTTTCTTCTGCTCTGATAGATGCAAGTCATATAAGTACTTCAGAGATTGAAGATTGTATTGAACTGTTCATAACTCTATTTCTTTCTTTACCCTTCTGTAACATATCTTGTATATACATTTGTCAGAGTTACCTCCTCCTTCGCTCCTTAAACTAAGAGAACAGGTCATTTCAACCTTGACCTCTCGGTTGTGCCCCTATACGCTGTAAACCTGTGGTAGAGACTAGCAAGTTCCCTTTTTAGTTAAGTTATATTACAAACCTAGTTGTAATATACTTCTAGACATTTTAGGCCTTAATTCCCTTTAGCTAACCTCGACTTATTTTTTTATAGAGACTTTACTGTTTAGGTTACCCAATTCTCTTGCTGGTCTCCCTTACCACAAGACAGTGGCTTCTCACTAAGTTGGTGAATGAGTAAATTGTAATGCCTGAATGGGTCGTGAATCAAATTAGCTAGGTATAAGATAGTTAGTGAAGACCAGCCTTTTACCCTGTCCTCCTTTTCGGCCTTGTGCCACAATTTTGTATTCTTACAAAATAAATCCCGGTCGGCGACTGAAACAGTCAGATATGCAGGCCCCTGACCTTTGTGGCCAGGAACGTCGATCACAGGGCTGCGTATTAAGTTATGCTCCCATTTTTTTTTGTCTGCCAACTTGACGATAGTTGGAAACTTTCCTTTCTCTCTCTTTCGCCTACTACTCCTGGCGCCTTGGCCCCATTCGACTCTTGGCATTCCATCCCTACTGGCTGCCTGCACGTCGTCCATAACCTTTCCCATACACTATGTTAGTAATTATTACAGGAGGTTACTAATATTGGACTCGACCGGCAACACACAACGCCTGCACTGGACCTGTGACAACGCCAGCTCTTCTCTCCTTCCCAACACGTCAAGTTGGCATCCCGGCCACGATCAACAGCAACTGCAACAACCAACAGTGATCATCCCAGCCACGACCATCAATGTCTGCACTAGAACTTCTGCATCTCTATCGTTTCGACCACCTTTATTTCTTTTCTAGAATAAATTAGCATATATTATATATATATTCTCGTTCTGTCGTCTATATTGTTGCTGTTGTTTGTCTGAATTCCATGTTTTGTTACTTTTTTTACCTGGGCTCACATAAGCCTGCCAAATACTGTTGGTGAGACAAATGTACCAGGAAGAATAAAATGATAATAGTTTCTATTCCTGTAACACATTTAATGTCAAAATCTGTATTTTTATTATTCTTGAGTCTATAGATAAACTTTGGTTGTATTTATGCTTGATTTCATTGTTTTGTCCTAATTATGTCATTTTGATGTTCAACCAGCTTTACATTTAGGTTGCATCTGATTTTACCATTATTTTCTTTACCATAACTGCATAGAATGTAATATATGCAATTCTTGGCTATGTTCTCATCTGTGTTAGGCTGGACTCACCAGAGATTTCTCTGTAAGGTTGAGCTGCATCTGAATATTGTCTTGATGTTGTATGGACCACAGATTTTCTGAATCTTTTGACATAATGAAATGGGTTGTGGCAGGTTTCCGGTCTTCCTCCGCAACCATTCTGTTTCTACAATGAAATCAAGCATGTCTGATCATGTATGGAGAGGAAAGGTAGTTACCAATCTTTATGGAATGAAGTAAACATACTAGACAAAGAAGAACACTGAAGAGCAGTTGTTCCCAAACTTTTTTCTCTGGGCTGCATATTTGGATTGAAAATTTACTCACCCCTTACCAAATTATATGTGATAAAAAGTACATTTAAAAATAAAAAAACAGAGAGAAGAGAGAGAGAGAGAGAGAGAGAGAGAGAGAGAGAGTGTGTTAAGGGAGATAACTGCGAATTCAAAGTCAGAACATTATCATTGATAACTCTCTCTTCAAATTTGCAGACTCTAGTTACTATATTCTTAATACTTGATATAATGCAAAAATATGACAATGATAAAATCAGTCAATAATTATTTATAACGATTTATACTGGGACTCATGCATGCAATTACAAGTAATCCATAATAATATTTTAAATTTTGAAATCATATTTATTTTTGGCATATGAATTTTTTGGAACTGTTTCTAAATTTTTGATTGTCTTTCAATCATTCCGTTTCACTTGCTATTCTCTTCTGCCATACCTATGAGGTGTGCTGCACTATTTGGGAACCACTGCTGTAGAGCCAGACATCTGAAAGAACCAGAGCATATTCTAGGCTGTGAGGATCTCATTAATAAGCATAGCACAAGAATAAATAAAATACAGAAGCTCTTAATGAATACAAAAAGAGAAATGAGAACAAGACTTCAACAGCAGCAGCAATAAGAAAAGAGAAATCTCAGTGATTGCAGTCAAGCAGCAACAATCTCAATTGCAGAAAGATTAAGGCTCCAACTTCTACACTTCTACACTTAAGATTGTTCCATGGGACACTAGCCTAGTGGATTAAAACATTGGTTCATAAATTTTGTGTCATAGTAATTGTGAGTTCAATCCCTGCTGCTGGGAAATTTGTCCCGGCTTTCCCACATCAAAGGGTTGAGGTTAAAAAAATTGTGACAAAACACAAATAAAACAGCAAGATTAGAGCGGACAACATCTCTCCTTTAGGCATGGACAAATAAAGAAAAAACTCCTGCTCAGTGTGTAACAATAAAAGAAGAAAGTATTTATTTACATATACAGAAAAAAAAGGTAAAGGGATAAAGACAATTAGGAGAAAAAGAAAGGAAGAAGAAAAATGTTCTTTAAGGGAAGAGAAAATTTTCATAACAAAAAAAAGCATTGTTCAAAATATTTCTCTGAGTGCCTAAAAGTTCTTCAAGCAAGCAGAAGTTTGTTAAGGGTTCGAAATACTCACAGTTTTCTTCAAAGTTCTTGTAGAATAGGAAAATGTTGGTAGATATAGGAATTCTGCAGTTGAATGAGTTCATAGGTGGACAAGAAAGTCTTGTAGGTGAAAGGAAGGCAGCTTTCAACTGGTCTTTAATTGTGGGGTCTCAATTCGTTCTCAACAGGCCTTTAGTAGGTAGTTCTTCTTCGGTTGAAAGTAGTTCCAAAGTTGACTGGTGCACTCTATTGCCAACCTTACAGACGGTGGGCCAAATTCTCACTGCCAAATAGGTGTAGATTCTCCAAATTTATAGAGATTTGGAAGGCTCAGAAGGATCGGAGACTTTTCCCTCTAAAATCATTATACAAATTCCCTGGCCCCTCCATTGGTCAGAAAACACGTTCTTATCTCTGATAAGAATCAAGGCTTTGGGTGCCAGTTTTGAAAGTAATGAAAAATGTTGGGGTGGTCAAGCTGTGAGGCTTCCCCCAGACTTTATGGCACCATGGAAAGAATAAAGATGGTGGAATTCCTTTTTATATTTTCCAGCTCTCTCGTTAGTCAGAAAATATATTCTTATCTCTGATAAGAATCAAGGCTTTGGGAGCCGGTTTTGAAGGCAAGAAAAAAGGTTAGAGTGAGGACTGGAAAAATAGGCTACAATGTGAACTTGTAAAATATTGTTCTCAAATTAAATACCAACACAATGCAAATTGTCCTTATATTCTTTATTTGATCTACACGTTGTGGGATAATGCATAATAAGCATGCATAATCTTTGCCATACATAAATTACCTTCTGATACATTTTCACTCAGCTACAACCCGCAACAAACTATCCTTAGGCAGTGAAACGAGAACAATCTACCTTTGGAGATTAGTTAAATGCACAATTCAAAATTCTCTGTTGGTAATCTGCACTGACAAATGGAAAGTACAATGGTCAAAAGATTCTGATAGTAGCAGTAGTCTCGGTTCAAGAATACTGCTTTAATTTCTAGAGTTCATAAATTTACATCCAGGTTCTTACAATGTTTTTTTTTCTTACACATGTAAAACAAAAAATATTTTTACTAAGATCTTCTAATAAAAAATTTTAAAATAATGTAATTCATTTTTGAATAAGACCTGAAAATTTTATCAAAATCTGACAATTATTTGATTTTTGCCAGAATTTCCAAAATGTGTCTGTCACCGCAAAAAGAGGCTAAAATTTGTTATGCTAAATAAAAGTTAGTACATCCGCTGACGCAAGAAAAAACAAGTTTTAACTTTCGAATGTTCTAAAAAGGAGTAAAATATTTAATTATATAGTCAAAAAGTATTTTGATCCTTCCTCTTAATAATAACATAAAGATTTTGACGATAAAACTATGTCTTCATTACATTTTTGTAGCAAGTTTTCATCACGGTATGCTGATTTTTTTAGCGTTTTCGTGCGGGTACCTATTTAAAAAGGAACGATATTCGGTTAACACCGATGTTAACGATATGGCGGCGCCCTTATGGAAACATGTTTTTTTTCCGCTCAATAAATATTGGCTCGTTCAACAGCGGTATGTGCTTTTTCTACTTGTTTGTTTGACAGACTTAATTATTCTTATATTGAAAAAGTTTTTTTTTTTTTTTTACAAAAAGCCTTATATATCAGAAGGCTTTCTTATGATATGATTACCGAATGAAAAATAACCAATGAATTGTGATCAATGTTTACAAAATCGAATGAACCCTAAAAAGAAGAGCGTAAAAATAAAATATTTTTAATTGACAGGGAAAATCTGTCTCGGCGCTATTACACTTTCGCCACCTCCATAACACAGTCAGTGTCAAACACTAACACACGATGTTTTTGTCTTCTGTTTCTTTTTAGTTTAAAAACAAATACGAATAATATGTGCTGATGATGATCATCACACACACATCACCCTTACAAATTCAAATCTTTAACAGCATTCATTCATTGGATAGAAATCAACGCTGCTATCTTATGCGACAATTTTGAAATCGCTATATTTTCGTATAGTAGATTTTGTGCACTTTTGGAAGAAACGAATCCCAAGAGCCTTCTTAGCTTAGTAAATATTTTTCAGGAAATATCAACTTGTAATTGGTCAATAAACACACAAGTGGGCGTTGCAATCCACCCACGCACAATATATTTTTCCAGCGCGTGACTAAGTCAAGTTTCCCGCCAAAGCGCTCTGATCCTGTCACGTGATTATGCAATCTATAAAAACAAACACGACTTTGCTTCTTCCTCTTTTTTTCCTTCAAGCCTCGTGCCGAATCCCACCTCGCGTGGAGGTGAGGTAATTCTCTCTTTCTTCCCTATTCTTGCTGCAAAATGTAGTCCTAGACAATTATTGTCTTGACTTTGCGGTCAGACGTTAAAGAACATTGCCAACATACACATACGTACGAACATTCACCAAAATACAAACGTTCACACACACAATGTTAACTGTTTATGTGCTTTGTAAATGTTGCGTTTAATACATATATTTGTTTATATATATCGGTCTTGATTGTTTGTCCTTTTTTCACATCAGTTTGGTTTCCTAAACAAAATTAAATAAATGTGGAAGTCCACCACAAATAGATTTCCCCTTTTTCTTAATATTTGTTTCATAATTTGTGGATTTTAATTTTAAATAATGCATTTCATTATGTTTCTGACACTCATTTTTTAGAAACTTTTGACAGCAGAAATACATTTACAGAAGTTTTTTAAAACTCTTGCTAGTGTTTGTAAATTTATTTATTAATAATTGCAACTGTTGTTATTTTTAATTAATTTTATGAAGTTAAACTTAAAAAAAAAAAAAAACTTTTAAAAATAAGTTTCTTTTCATTTTATAAAATTATCTGGATATGTTTTACGTTTTAGGTGTGGGGTGTGAAAGTGTAATACCGCCTCTGTCTCATCTTCCTCTTCCTGATAAAACAGCTGATGAAAATAAATTATTAACTTTTATTTTTATAAAAGACCAGTTTTCTATATAAATTCATTGTAAAGTAAATTGTTCCCTCAATGGAAGCCAAAGTAAATATGCACATATGAGGTGATTTATTATTTAAAATGTAAAAATATAACAAAAAATTGGAGTTCTTTTTCATATATTAATATTGATTTAAAAATAAGTTATAAATTTTTATTTATTTTTTTTTTCATTTTTATTTTAAATCACGTATGTTTTGGCTTTTGTAGTGTGATCAGTTTACAGTTACTGTAAAAGTAAATTAATCAAATTTTAATTTATGGGGCCTGCACTATGGTAGGGGTGTTGAAATTTCCTTTGACTCTAAGAGTAGCTAGAAGCCAGCCTGGTACAATAAGTGTTGTGAAACTGTGGCAGATGTGATGAGACAGAACCTGGGACAAGCACAACTGGTTGCGACTTGCCTTGTCCCCGCCTAAAAAGAGCCTGTATTTGCTTAGCATGTAAAGCTACTGCAGTTGAAATGAGGGAGAAAAAAGCACTTACCGCTCTGCCGTAATCCGTCCTCGGCCAGATAACGTAAAAGAATGAGGGGGACTTGCATTGCATTTTTATGCAATAAAGATGCACTGCATTATGGGACAGGGACGCAATGAATTATGGGATCGCATGAAGACGCAAGGGATTATGGTATATGGACAAATATAAAAGTCTTCATGACAGGCCGATGTGGGATCCAAGTATAATTCTTAAGGTGATTAGGAGGCACAAAGATCTCTTTGATGATGCCACCTTTTGTTCCTGTTGGTGAAATACTTTCAAATATTCCTGATAAATTCCTTTCTTCTCTAAGTCTTGTGCTACACAATCCAAAATGCACAAAGATACTGTGTGGTTTGAAGGAACCTGAGCAAGTTCCTCTGTATGCCAAGGAAAATGTACATAATAATTATTGTCCCTCAGGACATTAGATTCCGGAAACTGTCTTATCTTATACTGCTTATGTCGAAAATATTTCCTGCTCAGGAAACCCTAGGGACTTAATGCTGAACATTAGTTTCAGCTCCTGCTATACTTAACTTCATCAGGGCAGTGCGAAAGAGAAGCGGGTAGAAGGGAAGACAAGTACCTTCACCAGCCAGTGATTGGTCAGTTGGGTAAAAATATTCCACTTCTCTGAAGGGAACAACTCCTGCTGGAATGAAAAAGGCCCAACCCTGAAAATGGTGCTAACTACCAAAATGAACATTTCTCCAGACTACCATCAATATCCACCTTGTTATTGAACTTTTTGCTATGCTGAATACCACAGGACTCACTCATCACTTTAAAGAAAATAAATAAAAATATATTATTTATTTTAAACCCTTGAGTCAGTCGGTTTTATTCCAAAGTTTCCAATAAAATAATTATCCTACCACCTATTCACAAGGTAAAAAAATATTGCATCAGGGATATTTAAAAAAATGTTAGGAATCTTATTTAATTTTGTTCTTCCCACATTCCTTGACTATAGACCAATATTTGGTATGGTCACTCATCAAATCTATAGACCAATATTTGGTATGGTCACTCATCAAATCTATAGACCAATATTTAATAATATCTTATCAGCACTACTAAAGTCATAAAAAATGTGGAAAAAAAATTAATCATAAACTAAAATCAAATACATCAATTAAGTAATTTTTACTTAGTATTATATTTTTTAGTGTAGTATAAAAATATAATGCATTCTACTAAGTTTCATAAAACCTATAAAATAAAAAAATTATTTTCTTAAACTGTAATATAATGTGAAAGCTATTTATTTTTAAACATCATTCCAATTTGATGCATTGTACTTTTAAAATTTTATGCACACTTTGGGGTTACAAGAGATGACTATAGTTATTGACCTATGACCCTGTTGATGGTGCATTGGCTTCCGTATGTAAATAAATGTTGCTTTGCTATCTTAAGCAAAAGTAAGCATTACTTTTATAAAATCCAGTTAATTAATCCTAAAATTTATTCAGTTAATTTCAAAGAAATCTCCAGGACAAATATTGGATTTTTAGATTTAAAATTTTTTTTTCATTTTTGCCAATGTTTTAAAAATGTCTTATCAGCACTACTTAAATAGACTGGTCCAGTCCTAACAAAATTTGGGGAAAAAAATTTTTTTTTTTGTTTAACATTCTTTTTGACACTTGTCAGAATGGAAAAACATTGATTAGTTATTGATTTAGAAGAGAGGTCCTGTTTATAATATTAAGAGAGTATAACATTGATCATGGACTTATGGAATTATTGGACTTTGCTGTTATTTGCAAATGTCAAGTTTGAAACTGCTTACATAATTGATATCTGCTTCTTGTTCTGAATTTAAAATCAGATTTTGGTGACACTGTACTTAGTAATCACTGCAATCAGGAATAATCATTTTTTCAAATAATTTTTTCATGACACTCTATATTAAACATTCTAGATCTCAATCATCTATAAAAAAAAAAAAAAGAAGAAATTATTGACCACTATAAAGGTTATTTGGGTTGTTCAGTTTGCTATGTAAGTCCATTATAAATTGATCCCCCTCTGCAAAACAAAACAAATATATTCATATGACATGTTTTCTTAAAATCAACGTCAAGTCTGGTCAGCACATAGATGGGTGACTGTTTAGGAATACCAGGTGTTGTAAGCTTGGATGTGCAGGTGGTGTAATGGTTAATGACTCAGAATTGTTAATCAGAGAGACAAGTTTCAATTCCAATTGGATTCATTACATTCACTTATGCACAAATATTCCTGGGAAAGGTATGAACCCATCTCTTCTCCCTCCAGCTATGGGTTGATTAGTAAGACTTGTATCACTAAACCATTATCTCAAAAAAAAAAAAATCTTACAATCTAAAAATATTTTCTGGCTTTAAATAACCTCCAAAGGGTTGATAAGCCATAGAAATCAAATCAGTCAAAATTAATTTTCTTAAAAAAACCCAACTTTTTTATAATTCTCAATCTGGAATGCAGAATTGGTTGTAATATATAAAAAAAGAACTCCAGATAGCAAATTTTAAAAACTATAAAAATTATTGTTTTTACATGTTAAGAAATCATGTTGCATGAGTATATTTGTTTTGGCTTCCGTAGGGTGTGTGCATTCCACTATGAATTTTCATAGAAAACTGCAACACCCTATTAACTTTCAGAAAATTTAATAACATTTTTTAAAATATATATTTGTGATCTGTTGTACTTAATTTATCTTCTAAGGCAAATCAAGAACCAGCACAAAGTTTTAAAATTATTTTAAAATATCCTTAATACAATTGCCATTATGAGTTAATACTAAAAATTCATATTTTTTCAAGTAGTAAAAAAGTTAGTGAAACTACATTAAAAAATGACATACATATTCATTCACAGAAACATTGGGTCATTTATATTTTTAATTATTTACATATAATGAATTGGTTAACTCACCAAATTATCCTTTTAATTTGTGTTCCTGTTAATGTAAATGGATTTTAATTATGTATACTGGTAATATCTATTATTGTATTGTAGTGAAAAATATTTTCTTTATCTTCTGTAAAAACAAATATATACACCTGTAGATCTGACAAAAATCAGAATATAATTGAGAAAATTCATCATAATTGTCTGAGATTCCTTGTTTTTTCTTCGTCTTTTCAGATTTTGATACATGATTTTGTAATGTTGAATTTGTTTTCTAGTTGTCTTATACAATTATATTTTCTATGCTTTTCATTAATTAGTATAAACAAATTGACTCATTCTTTCTTTTATATCATCTAAAATGTTCCTTATTTCTGATTAATAAGTAATTTTTATGCATTTAGTTAGTAGTGGATGTGAGTTTTGCTGTTTTATTTGTACATTGGCATTTATGAAAATAAATTAATTGTTATAGTTATAAGGTGCTTCCTAATGATAGGTACTGTTGTTGAATATCTCTAAAAACTCCCTTGTTAAAAAGTTTCTCTCTTATTTACTAGTAAGTTAGCCCCTCCAATTGTGGACCTCAGTTGTTTAGCTACCAGGCCTGTTATATCTATAATCTTGGCTGTAGTGCATCTTAAGATAAAACATGTAGATGTTAACACCTTCAATCAATTAAGATTAAAAGTAATTATTATTTGATCTGCAAACACAGCAGATCTTTTTGGAGATGAAATGAAAGTACCAGCCGTCCACACCTAGTCAACTAAAATGGCAAATTTTCATCATGAGTCACAAACTCTACAGAGAATACAAGCAGCTTCAAGGAGTGCAGTCTTCTCTGTCCAATCTTGACATTGACCCCCAGTCTTCTCTCGTTAATTTGTAAGTTCAATACTTATGGTGCCCAAACAACAAGCAACAAAGGAAATTACTTTCACTCTCTTCATTGAACGCAATTTGTAAATTTACCAATTTAAATGTTCATAGTTTTCTTTTTATGTTCACTATTCTATTGTCTGTGGGACATGCAATATCTATGATGTTGCATGTTCTTTTTCTTTATCTGCCACCAAAAATGTCTGGTTTTCTGTAAAATACTTCATGGTCACATTGAACTTCCCACAAAATTTTGTACTTATCATTTTTCCTTCTCCATTCCATACTTGTTGAAAAATTCTCAATGTATCATTCTCGTAATGATATCGTCTCCTTCTGTATTTTCTCTGTGCCTACTTTATGCATTCACTGATAACATGCCACAATGTTTCACCTTTATCATTACACATCCTTCACTTATTGTCCATTTTACTATCATCATCATCATCATCATCATCATTTTCTTTTTTTTTAAGGTTGGCCAATTCTGGAATATTTTATCAGAGGATCCAACATTTTTGCAAAACTATCAACAAAGATATTCTGAAACTGCATGAAAGGGGCCTTTTCCAAAATGTTTTTCCACCTGAAAGGTAAATATGAAGTTTTGGTTATTGAAGGTTAGGTATTAAAGTGTATATTTGAACCTCTAATTTTATGAAACAGATACATATAGTATGGAGAACACTTCCCCGTGCCAAGGGAGGTAAAATTGGAAATCTTTGAATATTAGCACTCTCAGAACCTGTATGCATAATTAATGAAAAAAATTTATTTTTTTTATAAATTTGTTGGGTACAGTATGTTGCTCATATGTTTATTTTTCTTTTTCTAGCATGTGTACTGTGATGTATTTGAAATATTACATATTTCCTTAATGTCTTTTAATAGTGACTTTCTGTAAGGGATCATAAAGAATGATGATTTTAAAATAAAATAAAAATTGTGGCAAAGTAAATGTAAACAAACTATGGAGATTGGTTGTATATACAAAGAAAGATGCTGAATTAGGGTGCTGAATAAAGATAAAATAATTTTATCATTTCTAAATTCTTATAATTTTTACATACATAGGACACTGAAGGTAAAAGGCCTAAGGCTTAAAAGCCCTTCGTAGGAGCTAGCCTAAACTTAACCCAAACAATGGCTTCTAGGCTAGTATAAAATAAATAATATATTTTTATTTATTTGATTTAGAAAGAGTTCTTTTATATTTGGTGTGGCAAAATGTTCATTTATAAGGTGGATATTGGTAGCAGACAGGTGAAACTCCATTTTGGCTCAGTGTTTGACAGTTTTAGAAGTCAGAATTTGGTAGTAGTAGTCATCTTAAAAATAGGTCAGCATCAATCTACTGTGTTTTTCTCAGCCCTAAGAAGGGCAGAAAATATTAGCAGATGACCGCTTACCTACTTCTTGTGTCACACATGGCTGATTTCTTTCCCTTGTCTAGCTCAGAGCTGTGAGGTTATATCCTTTTGACCAGGCCCCCAGACTCTGATGCAAACCTTTGTTTCAGCTATCATCAAAAATCTCTTTGTGCTCATTTGTTTTGATTGACCAAATTATCTTATTTTACGGCATTCATTCCTTTTTCATTTTTTTATAACAAAAGTTATGCGTGGAGCCTCCCTGACCTTTAGTATTTTTAGTCACAAATAAGTAGGCTCCACTCCTGTAAACTTCTGGTGTTTTGGGCCAGGTTTAGTTTTTTCTTCTTCCTCTGTTTATTTCAGGATTGCCTTCTCATAGGTTGATAGAAGTATAGAAAGAAAAGTTTAGAATGAGAAAGAAAGAAAGAAAGAGATAAGGTTTTTTTAAGTCTCTTCGTGTTCATATTTTTGATTGGTCAAAATTATTTTATTTTCCAGTGTTCTTTTCTTCTTCATTTTTTTATATACCGGAAGTTATATATGGAGTCTCTCTGATTTTTAATAGTTTTCAGTCACAAATTAGTAGACTTTGGTCCAGCAAACTGCCAATGTGTTTTGGCCAGGTTCAGTCTTTTCTTCTTCCTTTTTTTTATTTTGAGTGTTGCCTTCTCGTTAGTTGAGAGAGAAGTCTAGAAAGAGAAAGAGAGAAAGAAAGAAAGAAAGAAAGAAAGAGATAAGGTTTTAAAGGAAAACACAAATGCTTTATTTTAGTTTGAATTCTTTCTTTTCTGTTTATATATATTATTTTTATATTTTATTTTTATTGGGACTCACTCAGACTTAACATAATGACATAAAGATACTTTACAAAATTGATGTTTTACTGTAAATGTTTTTTATACAGAAATTCTAGAGTGGCCAGAGAAGTTCTGACAACTTCATTTTCTCTGACCCTAGGATAGGTATTTGTCTAGTAATCAAAACTATTCCTTATATCTTGTTTACTGAACGTTTTACTTTGAGTTTTTTTTTCTCTGCTAGATATATCATCTCAGATTGTTGGGAAATTTGTTTTAAGTGATGTTGGTTTCTTGAATTTTAACTGAAAATTAAACCAATAAACCAGACATTTCTTCTGCATTTTTCCTCTTTGCAGTGTTTCCACAGAGTTTGGAGGAAACAGCAAAATATATTTGGATTTGTTTTTATAAATTTTCTTCCATTTTTAAATCTAGGAATTTATTCCTAAATGGTTTCAGGGAATAATTGCTTTATATTTTGCGGAAATTTTCAAAGTTGATTTATTTAAAACAAAAAAAACTGTAAAAGATAGAATAAACATTTTTTTTAGTATTTACAAACTTACTGTGATTTTATATATACATATATATATATATGATGTAAGATTCTCTGTGTAAATAAATGGTTATTTCAAGCCAACTGTGAGTAGCAATAATTTCCTTCTTATCGCATCACATGTTTCTCCATGTGCCACACACACACACACACACACACACACACATATATTCATTCATGGACCGTGAATTAAAACTGTATACATGGCATTTCATTTAATAGTTATGAGACAACAAACACGCTGTTCATAACAGGTAACTCGGGGTAAGAGCAATGACATGCTCTTATTTCCAAATTTATTTTTAAAAAGTAAATCCTTATATTCTGTACAAAAAATAAGTTTTGTGAAAAAACAATTTTAATATTTTGTACAAAAATTGGTTTTTGATAAGAAAATTTGAATTTGTATTCTGGGAAGTGTTTTAGCAGAGGATTTGAAAGTATGACACTGACATCCAAAGGTGAATTGAGATAGGCAAAGGTGTATTCAGAAAGCTAAGTAAAGTATTAAGAGACAAAAATGTTGTTAGAAACCAAGAAAAGATTACTGAACATGATATCTCTCTTTCTATATGGCAGTCAATGCTGGACAATCTCATCAAAGATGAAAAAGAGACTCAAAGCAGCAGAAATGTGGTTCTAGATTGTGAAAGATTTCCACTGGCAGAAACAATCTGGAATCCTTTCATGTTGCCGTTCTTTATATCTTCTTTAATTTCTGAACAATGATTCGTTCTTCTTTTGCTTTCTTCATTTTTAACCTTATTTTCTTGTTGACTTCTCTGTACTCCCCTGTTCTTGTGGTGTGTCTAATACTCTACACTTCCTTCCGTTTCTCACAATATTTCTTCGGTAACCCATGCTTTCATCTTTGAGCGTTGCATGCCATTGATGCCTTAGGCCGGTTTAGTCATGACTGAGTTGAAGTTGGTAGCCAACATTTCAGCGTCTTTCCATAGAGTGAGTAACGGTGCAGATTTTCAGCTGATGGTTGCTAGAAATATCTCTGCAGGTAGTGGGATCCTTTCATTGATCAACATTGAATTTGACCCTAATATTCTTGTTCTTTTTCAACCATACTCGAAAGTTCATTATCACAAGATCATAGTCACTCCTTGTGTCAGCACCGAGGAATGTCTTTGTTTTTACATTGTTGACTCATGATCAGGAATGGTTTTGGACTAAAATGTAGTCAATCTGGCTATTATAGGTTCCATTTAGTGCATGCAATGTCCAATATTGAGTCTGCCCTGTTGGCAGGGCTTCAGAATACGTTGACTGCACCCCTGCAGAGAGTAAAATCCATCAACGGGGCTACCTGTTGGCCGTGGGTGGTGACCCATGACACCTGGTGACGGGATCCTGGTGGTTGAGCAGGTTGTGAACCAGGTGAAAAGTTATCACGACCCTGCAACACACCACTTTGGCCTTTACCTGAGCTAGACGGGAGGGCGGAGGGGCCCAATCCGACCAATCGACTAGTCACGTCAAGCCCTAACACCTATCCTCACAAAATAAATATCTTTAAAACTCTATTTCAAAACAACATGATATTCCCCAAATAAGTGTCAGAAGGCGGTGGCAAGGGTCGATCAATTAGTACGTAAAAATCAGCCACATGAAGGAGTAAATAAAAGTTTTCATAAAAACAGGGGTAAGAAAACAAAAACACCAGAAATGCTGGCAAAAATACTACTAATATGATTATAGCTCTTTTGTATCCTTGAGAAAATAGGGCAAATAGTCTCCCCCCCTAATATCTCCTACTGCAGGGCTCCGAGGAGGGTGGGGAGCAAAAGTGATGAAGATAAAAACAAACCCACATGGCAACAAAAAAACAACAAAAAGACTCCATATCGAATCAAGCTCAGACAACAAGTCAGAGCATGAACTAAGACATCATCAATTCATAGTATTAGAATCTATTGAAAATACTCCTCTTACCAAAATATCTCTTTTAAAATAGAGAAAATCATCTCAACCGACATCCAAAAACCAGAATCTGTGAAAAAAATGAAGAATAGAACAATACTAATTGAAGTATCCAAAAGTACACGTGCAAAAAAAAAATATTAAACTGGACAACCTTTGACAAGATAAAAATCAAAACATACCTACATGAAACCCTAAATTCATCCAAAGGACTAGTGAGAAGCCATGAACTCTCACTATGCACCCTGGAAGAGATAAAAACAAACCTAAAAAAGCAACAAGTAAAAGATGTCAAAAGAATAACTATTAATAAAAATGGTACACTTATTGAAACCAACACATATATATTAACCTTTAACTCCTCTGTAATACCCAGGGACATAAGAATTGGATATTCAATAACAAAAGTAGAGACTTATATACCAATGCCACTTAGGTGTTACTGATGCTAAAGATACGGACACCACAAAGGAACTTGTGCTAGAGATCCAGTGTGTAGAAGATGTGGAAATACAGAGACTGAACATCCAGAAGATTGTAGGGAAAGACCTAGGTGTCCAAACTGCAAAGAGGAGCACAACTGCAGGCTCAAGAGCATGTAAAGTATGGCAGAAAGAAAAGGAAATCAACAAAACAAAATATTCAAGAAATATCTCTTTCTTCAAAGCAAGAAAAATTGTTGAAATGCAGACACCCACAATAACATATGCCTCTCTATGCTGACCCCAGAAAATAAACATCCTGAATATCCATAAAAAGAAACAACAGAAAAAACTAACTACAAATCTGAAGAAATCTCAACCTTAATAGATAACCTGAGAATTCTACTTACTGAACTAACCATAATACTCAAACCTGAAATGATGACAACAGCTAAAAATAACCAAAAAACAACTGAACACTGCACATCAAATACTACAAAACAAACTCAAAAAAAGGAAACCAAAAGCCTCAGCAGAAGCCAAACAGACCTGCAAAAGCAAGACAAAGAATCTACAACAAACAACCTAAAAAATCAAAACAGATTTTTACTTCTCAACAAAATAGAACAAGAAAAATCAGAAAACACGACCACAACTGAACTTCCGAAAAGAACACACCATGGAAAAGATGTGACTTAAAAAGACACAAACTCATAAGAAAAGCCAGCTGCGCCAATGATCAACTTCCAAAAACAGATCAAAAAGCCAAACAAAATCCTCTCCAGAAAAAAAAAAAAAGAAACAAAATAAAAACCCTAGCAACATGACAACTGAGAATACCCCACCATCCCTAGAAGAGATGGATATATCATAAAAAAAACAAAACAAAACATAATGAACTCAAGATCACACAAAATTCTACAATGGAACTGCAAAGGAGTGAAGCCAAATATAAATGAACTGCTGTTACTAATTACAGACCTAAACCCAGCTATAATATGTCTTCAAGAAACCTTCTTAAAGAATAACAATAAGATAAATATAAAAGACTACCAACAATATAATTATATTAAAAACTCTAGTCTTTGAGCATCAGAGGATACATCTATTCTAATCAGAAATGACATGAGTCTTATTGTCTTAAAAACAAATTTACAGGTAGCAGCCGTAAGAGTGACTTTACACCGACAAATTAGCATTTGTTCGGTGTATATAACACCAGAAGAGGAGATGAACGAGACTGAATTACAGGAAATTACAAACCAACTTTCCACCCCCTTTATATTAAATTAAATAACATCCTCGACAAACTGTTCTATATGGAAGAAAAGAGTATCTGCTGGATCCCAAGCCACACCGGAATCAAAGGAGGAGACAAAGTGGACACAGCAGCCAAATCCTCATTGAAAATGAACAGAGACAAAAACAAAAATAGCATACACAGATTTGAAACCTGAAATAATTAAATTCATCAAGGAGAAATGGCAGAAAATATGGGAAAGCCAAACCAAAAATAAACTCCATCAAATAAAACCTACAATGGAAAAGGGACTCAGATGATACCCGAAGAAAACAAGTTCTTATGACCAGACTACACATAGGACATTCTCACTTGACTCACTCTAACATCCTGAAGAGGATGGATCCTCCATAATGTTCCTGTGGAAGAAGACTCACAGTGGAGCACTTCATGTGCAGAACCATCTCCAAAATAAGACGAAAATATTATAACCATAAGAGCCTCAAAAGAGTCTTTGAAGAGACAGACACTTTCAGAAATCAGCATCCATAGCAAAATTTAAAAAAAAAGATTTTTTTCCTTTTTATAACTTAACCCAATGCCACAATTAAGCTCTGCTAAAGTACTTGCAAAAGCCTCTAAGGCCGGAATATCAGAATATCTATCTATATGTCGAAGTGTGATTATCAAGCTATCTATCTGATTGTCAAGGTGTAAATATCAACATATGTATCTTTATATCAAAGTATGAATGACAAGCTATATATCTAGTTATCAAGGCCCAGATATCTATTATTGGCATTAAATAACCCGAGGTTGATATGCTGTAAAACACAAACAAACAATATTGAGTTGCTTTATGTTCTCCATGATTATTAACCAGTTCTAGTTGGATTTTTTATAAACTAGTTTCATTCTTTTGTCTTAATTAATGGTATTAATTCTAAATTGGTTCTTCTTGCTGAGATCTTTCTCAATCTGGAATGCTTTCATGCTGCTGTTTTTTTTATATTTTCTTTAATCTCTGAACAATAATCCATTCTTCTTTTTCTTTTTACATTTCTTACTTTATTTTCTTATTGACTTCTCTCTACTCTCCTGCTCCTTTGATGTGTCTAATACTCTTCCTTTCTGTTTGTCACACAGCTCCAATATTTCTTCTTCGAGCATTTCATGCCATTGATATCTTAGGCTATTTCCGGCATAACCAAGTTGGAATTGGTCATCAACATTTCAGCATCTTCCTGAGAAGTGTGAATTCTCTGCTGATGATTGTTTGAAAGGTTTTGCAGTTGGTGGGAACCTTCAGGCAGTCATTGCTGAACTTCATGTAGGCCTATGGTGTGCCAAGTGTGGCACTTCAGTACTTGTGTTATTTCCAGCATTCTTCATCGCTTTTCCAGTATTGACATATTTCAAGTTGATTTGTTTTGTTTATTATTATTAATCATATATTTGACACCTCTGCCTTGATGAACAAAGGCAAGCGTGGCTCTTTTTATCTCGAGCAATTTATTCACTAATTTATTTTCTGATAAAATATTATTAAATAAAATGTTAATATTTTAATTTTAAATAATACAAAACATAGTGTTATAGACAAGTGTATGGTTGCAAGAAGGAAATACGACAACAGCAGAAATAGATTTACGTGATTTATTTCAATAGGAACATGTGGTTTTGGGACAGCTACCTTGTGGTATAGTTCATAAGCCGGCCTCCGATCTGGGTTGATCTTTCATAGTAGTTGTCACTGGTTGGCGTGGCATTCCTCCTGCTGACTGCTGGTGACTGTTCAGACTGACCGTGACAGATCTCTTCCCTGGCCTCCTGTTGACTGCTGTTGTACTTCCCCATGTGACCCCTTTTATGGCGTTTTTTATGGCTTAACAGGCTTGAAAAACGACGCGAGTATAATTAGGAGGGAAGCATTTTTATTGGTTGAAAAATAGGAACACTTTAAAATATTTTATTTTTTGACCAGAACTCGTGCGTCGGGCCTATGTGTAAATGACGATAATGGTCATTTTGTGATGGGGCCTTGTCCTGTTCACATCCAGCTCTCGCTCTTGAGTATGTTAGTTTATTTGCCTGCAAATCAGCCGAGATATGTCTTATTTTATTTTATAACAATAGTATGAAAGAAGAAATTCAAATATTTTTCAAATAATAAATTTCTTTTGAAACCCATCACAAATTTCTCTGATGAATTTAACATTAATTTAAAAAAAAATTTAGTTTTCTAAATTGAAATATTTGAGATTTTACACACAATTCCTGCACAATAAATTCAAATTTGTGCTTAATTTCTTCATTTTTTGTCTTCTTATTTGTAGCTCTTCAGAGCTGGTCCATAAACTACTTGGTGGTTCACAAAGTATGTATTGTGGTTTTGACCCAACAGCAAGTAGCCTGCACATTGGTAATTTATTAGCCATTGTAGTCCTTCTCCACTGTCAAAGGGTGGGACATTACCCAATTGCTTTGGTAAGTATTGAATTCTTCATCCACTCAGTTTTCTTTTTAATCATTTCACCCCAAGCAAGGCAGTAAAGCCCCTAGGATGCAAAGGGGTTAGGGTATGAGAAAAACTACTAGTTAGGAGAGAGGACAATAAAAGAACAAGAATGAAGAAGACAGATGATAACGATTGATATTGCATTTAAATTTTTAAAAATCAAAGTTGATTGAGAAGCAAGAAGCAAGAAACAAGAAGAGAGTTCCACAAGCAGGAACTATGAGAGAAGAAACTGCTAACATAGAACTTACAGTTACATCTAGCTATTTCAACTGTAAAGTGATAAGACCTTGCTGCCAATCTAGTACTGTGCTTAAATTCATAAGGTCTAGATATCATAGCGGAAATTTCGGCAGAACAATTACCATGAAAGTATTTATAGAAAAGGCACAGGGAAACTACATTATGGTGGTGGGAAAGGGACTGAAGCTGAGATGCCATGTCAGGACCAGTAACATTGCAGATTCTTCTTTAGATTTTATCAAGAATCGCTAAATATATAGCAGGAGCACCAGACCAAATGTGGTAGCAATTTCCAAAACAAGGGTGAATGATAGACTTATAAATATGTAAGATAGATTCTGGTAAGAAAACTGTCTAGCATGACATAGTGAACCAATTTTCTTTATTGCAGACTTAGCAATTGATTTAATATAATCTTTCCACTTCATGTCTGCTGAAAATGTTAGTCTGAGAGGTGCAATAACTCATTTGAAATAAAGCTTGCAAATAGTGTGACATTCAAAGCAATCATAATAATTTATATTAATATAGAGATATATGTTGATTTGGTGTAGATTCAATTTCTTTAGTCACTAATCTGTAATAAAGTTTTCCCAAAAAGTGATGTTCAATACAGTGATGTTTGTTTGGTTTAACATAGTCAAATTAATTGATTTGGTAAGTATTTCAGTTCATTAAACATTCATTTCCTATAAGGTTTTAAAAAAATGTGTTTCTAGCAGAACCATATATAAGAAATAAAAATGGACAGGGTTAAAAAGGTAAGAATTTCTTTTCTTTATCCATTCCTTTTCCTTGTTTCCAAAGAGTAAGTTTTCAGCAGATACATAGATAACACTAGCAGCATGGCCTGATGTTGCCCGTGCTTGATTCAAAAATCGTACGACTCATACAGCAATCGCTATCACTTGACTTAAAATATTTTTGCCCTTCCTTGCCTTTAAAGAAGTGCCCTTTGACGTGCTGATGTTGTTACATGCCTTACTTCTTGCCTATCTCACACTGCAAATTTTTTCTAAGCTCTATACTAAACATTAAATCTGTTATGAAAAAAGAACTAAACAAAATAAACACAAAATGATCAGCTTTAAAAACTGGAAAAACCAAATGAAAAAAGAATGTTAACAACAAATACTTTTTCATACCCAACCCAGTTCTGCGGAATCAGAATCATCGTTGAGTTTAAGCAAGCGAATGAGCCAATTGGAGTAAAGTGCCATCCATATTTAAATTTTTCCCACTTGTGATGAATGCAGTTATCAATTTTTTTTGCATGCTAGCATGCTAATTAACATTTGTGTCAGTCAACTGTTAGCTCTCACGCTGGCCAATAGAATCTTCCTGCCTATTCGTGGCAGCCAGCTATAGGCTCTCACTCTGGCCAGTAGAAAATGGCTGAAAACTACATGAAAACTGCTGTAGAAGCATGAAAAAATCGATTATTTCCACTATTGATGGGAGTTGGGAAATGCAAAGTTGGTCTTGGCCTTCCCGCTAACTTGGAGCATGTACATGTAAATTTTGGTGCAAATCTGTCAAAAATTGTGGCCGTGCATTCGTTACACACACACACACACACACATCCTGCCTTTTATAGATAGAGATAGGTATTTCATTTCTTTATCCTTTTTCCTATAATATTTGCAAACAGTGGGTTCCAGTAGATCTATATATAAGAAAAGAAAAATGGACAGAATAAAAAATAAACCCTCTCTATAAATGGTAATTTGAAACAAGAAAGAGTAGTCCAAAGCAAATTCCAAAGTATGATGTTTGTAGATAGTAGGCCTGGATGCATTTGAGTACATGGAAAAATTTTGAAAATCTGAATTTTATGAAATTGATTTATAACACATTCTACATTCTTTGGTACAATGCAGATATTTCCAGCTCCATTGATAATTTTACTCAAGTATTTAGATATTGTTTTATCACATATGTAACACCTTTTGTAGCACGCTTTACCAACAATTCTTTTTAATTCTCATATATTCATGTGGGCATCAGATGGTAATGTGTATGTGTGTCTGTCTAGTAAGAGGAGTTCTAATGTTTTCACTTTTGAGAACTCTCCTTACTAAACAGACACACATATACAATCTGATGCATACTTAGACATATTAGAATTTTTACAAACTTACATGCATATAGACAGTTGAATGCATGTGTGATATATGACTGACAAATGAGAATCAATCCAAATAAAATTAAAAATACCAAAGTTCTGTTTTAAAAATTGAAAATTAATTTGGTGATCCAGATTAATTTTTAATATTATCACAGTTTTATGCATCTTATAGTTTATTATATAATTTATTGTTAATAATTACTGTTTAATTTTTAATATTACTATTTTTTAAATATGGTTAAGTAAGCTCTCTTTAATTAAATAATTGATGATCCACTAATCTAAAATAAAATAAAAATATAATTATAAATAAATATAAATTGTTTATGCTCATATGCTAATTCCAGTTATTTTAATTGCCAAAATATAATGTTTTGAGAAATATAATTTAAAAAAAAAATCTTTTAAGGAATTTTTTGAAATATTTTTTATTAAAAAAAATGTTTTTACAAGGATATACTTTTTAAAAAACTATGATCCCAATATATATAATACTTAACTATGCCAGCATTGCGGTACAAAGATATATTTTTTAAATTCAATTTTTTATGTAACAGTCAGTCCAAACTCAGCACCTGAAGATTGCCTTTTGCATGAAATTCTGAGTTATGTGAATGGTGAGGATTATATATATATATATATATATATATATATATATATATATATATATATATATATTGTAAATGCATTTTACTCTGGCAAATCAGATTTTTCCATAGAAATGCACTGTGTAAATAAATTATTATAAAAATGAATTAAAAATTCTAAGAAAAAGTTAGGAATCTAATGCAAATATGAAATAGGATTATTATTTGTACAATGGCAAAGCATTGTAACTTCTTTTCCTGTAGAAATGTATTGAAACATAAGGAAAAGGTGTCAATGGCCAAGAATTAATGCAAGCATTAGTAATAGAGTATACTAGTTGAAAACCAATCCTACAGCTCATAATGAGAAATTAAAGAACTGAGTTTGAATTCCAGTCAAGTTCATTACATTCACTTGTGAACACTATGAATCTTGTTCTCCCCAGCTATAGGCTAAATACCAGGGCAGACTGCGCTCTATTTTGACTCATTGTCAACTGGAGTTGACAATCAGTCTAGGATTGAATTCAAAACTATATATGGCCCTGGGGCCAAATCACAAGTTGCCCTTAGCAACCTAGAAGCCATCCTTGCCAGGATTCCAGTGAAGACATCAGCAGCAAGACGTTGGATGTGGTCAATGGCAGAATTTAACAGACCAGATATTGGGCACCGAACTGTAATGGTGACATGCAAAAGATCCTTTGGAGGATACCCAATTGTTCTGAATCAGATGTGTCTCCGAATAAATGTGCAGCTGAAACCCCTATGATGACACACAGGTATATCTTGATGGACAAGCTTCTTAGTAAGAGATTATGGATTTGAACAGTATTTACTGAACTATACCTTATTTGAGAATCATTATCATGAAATCTAATATGATATATGATTTAAATATTTGTGTTGCAGGGATTTTACAAAAGAATTTTGAGTATGATGATAAAGTACATCTGACAGCAAGGCCTCTCATCAGGAGATTGGAGATTTAGTGGAATTTGGAACCACCTCTTAATTGTTGTTGCTCTCTTGGTTGTAGCACCTGTTAGGGCCTCAGCTATGGGCAAATATTGAATCCTTGAACAAAAACAAAACACTATGAAAGTATCAAAATACCAGCAATACATTTATATATATAAAAAAATTACCAACAACATGCATTTATAGCAAAATGTCTGATAATACATTTTACCTGTAATTGAAGGTATATAATTGCATTCAAAATATATTTAGTTAAAGCAATAAAATTGTGTTCTAAATATTTAGATTTCGACATGTTTTGGCATTAAATAACCCAGAGTGGTTGATATGCTGCTAAACAAAATCAACCAACCAACAATACATATTTATAGTAAAATTATCAACAATACATTTTTATAGTAAAATGACCAACAATACATTTTATTTGTAGTTGAAGGCATACAATGGTGTTCAAAATGTATTTAGTTGAAGCCATAAAATTGTTCAAAATATTTAGATTTCAGCATTAAATAATCCATAGAGGTGTTGACATGCCACTAAACAAAATCAATTAACTAACCAACAAAAGAATTAAATACTCATAAAATCTTTATTCATCCCATATTTTCTTGTAGCAATAGAGTATATCATCAAATTGCTTTTATGAGCACTTAGAAGTTAATGAACATAGTTTGAACTACAAATGTCAACACAACATATTATAAAATTAAATTTATAAATTCTATATTTTCTTGTGGTTATAGGACAAAAGACATTACAAAAAAGGGTCATAACTTTGATTTCTGTCTTAAATTTTCAGCTCAATGTCTGCTGTATATACTAAAAAAAGTACAGATTTATTTCAGCTATCCTGGTGGCCACAATGTAAGGGTCCACTTTAGCATAATACTTACATTATAAATCAGACCCTTTGCTAAAATCTAAAAAAGACCTGAAATTTTATATGATGCTTAAAAGATGCTTTCTGATCCTAATAATAATAACAGGTGATAACTTGGTGACCAAAGCTTGAGTGAAATTATGTGATGACAGAAGGATGAAAAATATTTGATCAATTAAAGTAAGATAATTTAAAATCATTGCAATTGGTTTTCCCGTAGAAATGAATTGAACACAAGGAGAAAAAAATGAGATTTAACGATGGTCTGAATTAATGTAAACATGGTTTATAGAAAAGGATTTATTATGTGTATAATATTTTTTGCAGATATTTAAACAAATATTAAGATAATGTGCTCAGAACGTCTTTTTCTTCAAGTGTGAAATATGTATAAATCTGTATTCCATTTGCAGAAAAGTACAAATTGGTGACCCATTTAATGAAATGTATGGGATCAGTGTCTCTGTTGCCAAAATGCAATGATGCTTCATTTTAGTTTTTACAGGTCTTAGCAATAAAAATGTTTCTTTATTTGACATATTGATTGATTTCTTATTTTCTTCAGATTGGAGGAGCAACTGCCAAAATTGGGGATCCCAGTGGTCGCACAAGTGACCGTGAACAAATTACAGATGAGCAGATTAAGCAAAATTCTTGGAGTATACATCAAAGCTTGGAAAGAATTTTTTCTAATCATCACCAATTTTTATGGAAGAACAAAAATAAAAAATTGCCAGACATCAGGTGAGTTTGTTGCTGGATGAATATATTTATATAGGACTCCATAAGTAGTAACCTTTATTAGTCAGAAGAAATACTTTTGAGAGACAAAACATGTAATGTAGGAGATTTTTCAATTTTATTAAGCAATTAGCCAATCATAATTGTTGTAGCCCATCAATATTGAGTATACTATTAATATATCTTGAACATGAATATGTTATGTGAAGATGGGAAAAACTTGATCTGTCAAGAAATTTCTGAGATTAAATTTGGAAAGTATTAAGAATATATTAGTATCTGGTGTGTAGAGACAGTTTAATGGTTGCAAAAAGTAGAATTGGCAAGTTGACTTCAAATTCTAGCCTGGTCTGTTGCATTCATTTTCGCACTAATTTGGAAAAAGCATGAATCCATCTCTTTTTTTCCCCCAAGCTAGAGTGGGCAACAAAAACTGGAGAATTGAATGAGAAAGCATGGCGCTATCTTTCTTAAGAATGTTTGGAAATTCAAAGATAATAAAGTAAAAACAAAATCTGTCAAGAACCATTGTTGCCTAAGTTCTGAAGGCTCATTGTATTTAAAAAAAAGAATTTACTTTTGAGTTAATTCACTTTAAGGGAATTTAGCCTTTAACACTCTACATTATTAATATTACTTCCCTTTACACTGCATTCTTTTTCAAGGCTTCTCAATTGCAGTAACCTTATTGTTAATTTCACTCATAGGTATTTTCTGTTGCCATAGCAGGATATGACAACACAACTATGAAATTCAAACAAATTAAAATTCAGGGATCAGACACTTTCATTGGAAGGATAAACTTTTTGCACAGCAAATAGTCGCATATAGAGTGATAAAGGTTAAGTTTAAACATTAAATCATTTTAGTTTTTCTTGGACATATTTCTTATAGCAGAAGTAGAAAACATGAAAAAGAATCAATTTTTATTTATTTTTTCATGGTTTACTTATTTCACAGAATTAAGAACAGAGTAAATTGAAATAGTATAGTTATATATAAACTGCTTTGAAATGTGTTAGAATCTAATTTCGATAATGATGCAGTTAAGTAAAAATCAAATGTTCAGCTTCTGAACTTGAGTTTTGTTTCACAAGTGCTGATTTTATTCTTGTGAAATAAAATTCTTTTTCTGATGTCAACAGTTGATCAATGAAACATGTCAAAGTAGAAACTTCTCAAATTGACTTATGTTTACCATTCCATCAGATTATCATTCCCCTTTATTATATATGTGTGTGTGTAGTTCATTCTGTAGGATATTCAGCACTATGCAATGTAAAAGAACCATATTGAACTGAAATTACATTACATTGAAGTTCAATTAAGTAATTGTTTATATTGTGTTATATATATATTTGAAAAATAGATAATGTATTTTTATCCAAATTTAGCCATGACTTCAAATATTAAGATAATATAATTATAACTTCTTAAAAAATATTAAGGCAAGTCAAATAAATCTAATATCTGATAATTGTTGGTTCTGGACAAAAGTCTGTAGCCTTTTTAAATTAATTTCAAAGACGGTATTTAGATATTTATACATAGATTTTTTCAACTACATATATATTCCCAGGAACTTTTTCACTCCACATTGTTGTAAACAATCTATTTTTCATCACTTATGATCTTTCTTTTCTAAAAACAGATTGTTTGCTTTTTTTTATTTTTGGGTAGAGATTTAGAGATGGAAATGCAATTAATTTAAGAAATGTGAGGCTTCCAAAAATCATAGTTATCCATGTATCCAGCAGTGGCAGTGTCAACTGAATCAGCAGTGAAGGTTAAGTTTAAACCTCTAAGTTTACTCCAACAATTGTCGTTTGATAAAATGATCTAATGGGTAAAAGTGTTGGTTTGTGAATTTGGTAACATAGTGGTTGTGTGTACTTGCACTCACTTGAAACAGTAACTGAACAGTGGTATATAAAATAAGAACTAGATGATATTCTTAGGCATGAACAGTGGAATGAGAACAGTCCTGGGTATGATGATAAACTACATCTGGCAGCAAGGCCTCTAATCAGGAGATTGGAGGTTTTGAGGAGTTTGGAACTACCTCTTAATTCCTTGGGTTGTAGCACCTGTTAGGGGCCCAGATATGGGCAAATATTGAACCCCTGAACAAAAACAAAGTATGAAAATACTATGAAAGTATAAAAATACATTTTTATAGTAAAAATACCAGTAATATGTTTTTATATACAAAAATGACCAACAATACATATTTATTGAACTGTAATGGTGACATGCAAAAGATCCTTCCTACTGGACAATGGATGATACCCAATTATTCTGAGTCAGATGAGAACTGAACCTTGTATCTCCTAATAAATGTGAAACTGTAACCCCTATGATGGATGACCTTAGTAAGAGATTATGGATTTGAACAGAGTATTTATTGAACTATACCTTATTATATACCTACTCCTATAGATTAATTAAAGGGTTCAGTTCAGAATTCCTTATAGGTTACCCAGATTGATATATACCTGAGGGAGGCTGGAAGACACAACAGCCAAAACATTGTGGTAAAAACAACAAATATGAGGACAATAATCCAAATATAAATAGTGTAAATCCCAGAAAATTAAGACAAAAATTTATCATTCTGTTTTCAGTTTTTATTACAATGCTCATATGAGATATGTGACATAACTCTGCAATCTCCTGTGTCATGTGACCTAGATTATTTTTAATTGGCATTTTGATTTGGTTATTATCAATGACCACAGCACTGCTGGAATCTTCTCAGTCTTCCATATTAAAATTTCCACTTCTGAACCTGGTGGAACCACTTACAAACATTATACTCAGCTATGGCACCATCTCAATAAATGGCACATAGCTTTTTTTGATGTTTGTACAACATTTTTTTTTCAGAGATAAAAGAGCTTCATATGAAGAAAATTCATTTTTTTCATTTTCACTTTTAATGTAAAAATATTAAAAATCAACAAATCTCCACATGAATCACATACAAAGATACGTTGAAATGTCACCTTTCAGAATATGTATACATGTCATAAATATCTGTCATGTATGAAATAAAATCTTCATTTGCTCTGTCCTTTCAGGATGAAGATGATCATGGCTCTCCACAATTTCCTGTCCTTTGTAGCTCTTAATATATTTTGTCATTTTGTTATTTTTCCTAACCCCCTTTTCACCATCCATTTAATCAAGCACATCAAGTATGTTATGTGCTGTTTTCCTCTGTCCCCCTTGCCTTCAATCTGTCCAGTGAGTATCCGATTTGCCAAGCCCTCTTTTCTCATTATGTGCTTTGGAAATTTCAACTCTCTTCCTGATGTTAAGTATAAGTGTCTTTTTTGTTTACATTTTCTTTAAACCTTTGTCATTGCTCTCACCTGTTCAGTCCATAGTATGTTCAGCATCTTTCTGTAGAATCGCATTTCTGTTGCTTCAAGTCTTTTTTTCATCATTGATGAGATTGTCCAGCATTCACTGCCATATAGGAGGACAGATAGAACATAATAGTTCAGTACTCTTTTCTTTGTTTTTAACAACGTTTTTCCATCTCGTAATACTCTGCTTAGCTTTTGGAAGACATCTTTCACTATCCCAATGTGTCTTTGGATTTTGGTGTTGCACTTTCCATCCTCTGTTAAAACACTTCCCAGATATTTAAATTTGTGTACTTGTTTCGGTATCTCCAATTTGTAATTTGCATTTTGCTTCAAACACCACTTATTGCAAAAAATACTACCAACTTTTATCCCAATTAAATATAACTTTTTGTTTTTCATTTCACACCAAGTAAGGCAATAAAGAACACAAGAAACCAGGAGAAAGTTCCACCGAGTGAGAAGTGTAAGAGAAGAGACAATTAGCATAGAACTAATTTAAAACCCTTCACTGTATAAATTTTAAAACTTTTTTCTGCTCTTGTTCCTATCTATAATGGAAAAACTTTGATTATATAAAAATAATCTAATACATATAATCAAACAGTTTCAAATTAGAAGATGTCATACAATAACATCTTTGAAAAGAACAATTTTAAAATAATTTGATGTCAGAAATTTTTTTTCTTTCAGGATTTTAAATAATGCAGACTGGTATGAAGGAATGAATGTTGTTGATTTCCTCTCTGATTTTGGTCGCCATTTTCGTATGGGAGATATGTTAGCCAAACACAGGTAAGAGGACCTCTTTTGGACTTCATTTCACTTTTGAGCTTCTAGTCTGATAAGGCACAAGACTTTCAGAGTTAAAAGATATCATCTTGTGGTTCTCATCAACATCATGGTTTTCAATTATGCCAAAGTTAAAAAATATCTTACCCAGTTTTCTTACAATTAATAGCAATTTTTTTTTTTGGTCGGGGAATGAAACTGGGTTGTCACATATTTAACTGATTGACTACTAGAGGTCAATTACAAAATCTGACTTCAAACACCAACTCCCTAATAGGCAATAAAAGATTTTTATAAGTTGCATTATAGCTTCGACTGAAGTCTTAACATTGTTTTCATGCTAAAAGTATTACTACAAATAAATTTGTTGTTGGTGCCCACAGATGAAAATGTATCAGAAAATGCCAAGCATCAGATAACTCATGGTTGGCAGTCAAAAAAATATATGGATCATCTGTTTAAAAAAAAAAAAATTAAAATGTTTAGGGAAATTTTGTAATATTTTAAAATAAAAGTAACGATTACGAATGTAAGTGATTCCTTTTTATTGCCCTGTGACATGTCACTGAGATTATTGTTAAGCAGCATTTTGATTTAGTCATCAATTATTTTATTGGGCTTTTCACAGCTTTATAGAGAACACTTTGTATAAACCTATATATGATCATACAATTCCTCTGAAGTTTGTAATCCTGGGTATGATGATGAACTACATTCAGCAGCAAGGCCTCTGATTGAGAGATTGAAGATTTTGAGGAGTGTGGAACCACCGCTTATTTGTGGTTGTTCCCAGGTCCACCCTGTTTGGGTCCTAGCTATTGGGAAAGTAGTGTTCTGATTTTTGTTTTGTGGTTCACTAAGTCTAAAAATAACATGGTAAAAATAGTAGCAATATATTTATAAAAAAAATGACTAGTTGTAATACATTTTTATAGCAAAATGACAATCAATGCAGCATTAAGTATAAAAATAAATTTTTATCATAAAATTACCAGTAATATATTTTATCATCTACAAATTATACAGGTTGTTCCTAAAGTCTGAACACAAGAAATTTCATTAAGTATATTCTTTTTACCTGCACAGATTAAACATGGTTTTGTTGAAAGAAGAAGGAATTGACTCCTTTTTCTGGGGTATGTGACGGTGTACTCAATAAAAATCACAGATTCAAGATACGTGATTAAACACATAAAAAGTGAATGTGTTAAAATTGATGGCAATAGGGATTTTATTGCATCGAGTTCTTGTGAATCTTGCAAAGTGCACAAACATTTGTATCACAAATAATGGAAATCATATAAAAGATGATATTTGTTAATATTCCAATTCAATAAAATGTTATTGAAAATTTCATTTCTTGAAAATATGCATTTTTACGTGTGTTCAGACGTTAGGGACACACTGTATATCTACAAAAAAAAAAGGTTTTTTCTTGAAAGTATAAAATTATGTATACGCTATCTGTAGTTGAAGCCATAAAATTGCAAACAAAATGCTTAGATTTTAGCATTAAATAACCCATAGAGGTTGACATGCTGCTAAAAACAACCAAATTGTGAAGTTTGTGTACTGCACATGCTAGATAATTATAAAGAGGTGAATCCTGGGAAATTTATTTTTTATATAAACAGGCCAAAAGCCATAGCCAGTTTGTTCTCAGTGTGGATATAACTACTGATAATTGTGAATATTATGAATACTTTGTTTATATTTGCCCTCAAGTCCTCTGATGTTATAGTCTTACTTAAATTTTCTATTATGGCTTAATCTAATTGGATCAAATCCACTTCTGCAGATTCCTTAAGAAATGTCTGTTTTTGGTTTGAAAGATATTAGCTCTGTCCAATTATTTCTGAATTTAGCTTTCTCTGAATTTTTTTTTCTTTTTATAACTAATCTTAAATCTTTAACTATTTCCCACCTCTAAACAAGATTGCATTGTGGAGAATCCTGAACCTAGAAAAATAGCCAGGTGGATTAAAGTGTTGGTTCATTAATTTGGTGACATAGTAATTGCAAGTTCAATCCCAAGGCTGGGTAGCAGATACTTAGATTCAGTTGAAACAAGAAAAACAGTAACTGAACAATAGAGAAAGTAACAAAATGAGATATCTCTTGATGTGAACAGCAGAATGAGAACAATCTATGCTTTTATATTAAATAAAAGGTTCAGTTTGAAATTCTTTTAAGGTTATGTATTGACACACATCTGAAGAAGGGCAAAGGGCACAGCAACTGAAATGTCATGTCAGCAAGAATGATGAGTGTAAATAATCATAACTCTTCATACCAGAAATTCAAACAGAAGGTGATCTGGTGATAATAACAACAAAGATGAGGATATTATTCTGAATGTAAATAATGATAACTCCTCATTTTAGAAATTCAAACAGAAGGGGATCAGGTGATAATAACAACAAAGATGAGGATATTAGTCTGAATGTAAATAATGATAACTCCTCATTTCAGAAATTCAAACAGAAGGGGATCAGGTGATAATAACAACAAAGATGAGGATATTATTCTGAATGTAAATAATGATAACTCCTCATTTCAGAAATTCAAACAGAAGGTGATCAGGTGATAATAACAACAAAGATGAGGATATTAGTCTGAATGCAAATAATAACTCCTCATCCCAGAAATTCAGATAAACTTAAAAAATATATTAATTTTTAACCATTTTTTTCTTTAATTTTTGTAAATATATTGTCTTTCACATGAAGTATTGTTATGGATTTTATGAGTTTATGCAGTACATACTTATGTAAGTTTTTATATATACAAGAAATTTAACTTTTTTAAAAAACCATTGTGACCTTAGCTGGAAGAAAGGTCAAAGTTTCATCAGTTAGAAATTTGTGGTAAATGCAAAAGAAAATGGAAGCAATTACACAAGACTGCAATAGAATAAGATCAAACCTGCATAGACATACAGAAAATATCATTTATACATTAAAAGGACAAATGAAAAGAATTTTCTTTGATTTTCTTTTTAGTGTCAAAACTCGATTGAACAGTCCAGAAGGAATGAATTTTACAGAGTTTGCTTACCAACTATTTCAGTCATATGACTGGTTATATTTACATGACAAGTATCAATGCACCATACAGGTAAGATTCTGTAAAACTGCTGACTTATTAAATAAGATTTAGAAAAAAAAATCTTTTAAAATTAAAAGAAAACTGCAAAGATTTTTGTGCAGCCTTTCTTGTTCCTCTTTGCCTCCTTTAATTGTCAATTTGCTAATGTTTACAATTTTCCCTCTTTATTTCTCAACATTTCTAAATGTAAGCAGACAATGGTTTCTTTGTAATTGTCATGTTTCTCTTTTGTCTTGAATAACAAAATAATTATGCTTCTGGCATCATATTCTTATAGATGTAAGTTCTATGCTAACAGTTTCTTCTTTTGCACTTCTCATCTGTGGAACTCTCTTCCGGTTTCTTACTTCTCAGTCAACTTTGATCTTCAGAAATTTAAATGTAATGACAATCGTTATTTTGTGTTCTTTTATTGTTCTCTCTCCTTAACAGCATTTTTTTAATTATTTCACACTCAGTAATCTCTTGTGTTTTAGTGGCTTTGTTTCCTTGTTTGGGGTGAAATGATTAAACAAAGAAAATCATTTCGTTAGCTTTTGCCAAGTGGAGTGTCTGCATTTATACTGGACAAACTTGATTAGTTGTGCATTTTTATGAAGGCAAAGAAATAAGATTTATGTTATGGTTTATCTCAAGCATAGGGATTTTTAAAAATATTTTTTTTTCAGACCTCACAAGTTAACTTGTTTAAAAAACAATTTGTTTTTTCAACAGAATGAAAAAAAAAATTGGAATGCTAGTTGTATTTTAAACCAAATATGAATCTCTTTAGAACTGTTTTTATTCAGTCACACCAGTTTTACAAGTTCCTTGGCAGCAGTTAGAATTTTAGCTTTGTATTTCGAGATATTTTATAGGCCTTATATGTTTATAGCAAAAAAGAAGAAATAAATTAAGGCACAGGAAAAAAACGATGATTCCTACATGGAAAGGTCAATGCACTATTAATTTAGAAATCAAAAAACTTGATTCTGCGTTGTTGCAATTGTTGACAGAGGCAAGGTTCTTCAAACCAACAAAGGCTTTATCACTAGTAAAGACACTCCCCAAAAATGAAAAATTCTTATACTCATCCCATGGATCTAAGGCAGTGTTTCTCAATGTTTTTAAATAACATCACCCCTAGGAGCAAATGAAAATATTACAGAATACTTAGCAAAATTTTTAAAGGGTATACATTTAAATGTTATGAAATAAAACCACAGATTTAAAAAAAATACACACATAAATATGATCTTACTTTATTTCAATGTTTCAAGAATAGTGAAAAGAATTATTTTGAAAAAAATGTTTAATAATTATTCTTTTATTCAAATATTAATGTACTACTTCCACTCACACATATAGGGTGTGATGATAAATTGTCATTTTATATTTTTAATTTCACTTTTTTTTTTATTTTGTCAACTGCACAGTTAGTGGGGTCAGTTGGGCACCATCTGTGAGAAAATGAGAACCATGATGCAATTCACTCTGTCAGAAAATTTGAAACGGCATGCTGTACTACTTAGCATTTGCACTGGAATCTCCAATATGAACATTTCAGAGTGTTTGGATGTCGATCTGAGGACAGTGCAGAGGACCGGAAAGAGTTGGATGAGTCTAATGGTGATTATGAAGGTGTTTAAAGTGATCACTAATGATAGTGATGTTATGCTCCTATTCATCTTCCCACAGGGATTCAGACTCAACACGGAAGCCTACATCGTGCCCTAAGGAGGTAGTCCTTTACTGGGTCAAGAGAGTGGATGTTGGAAGACCCTATCTCTGGCAACGGGACTCACAAACAAGAGAACCCAGTCATGGCTCTCAGGCAATTTCTGCAACCAGATCACCACTTACATCTGGCCACCGAACTCCCCAGACTGCAACCCCCTTGATTATTATGTGTTGGGTGCAATTCATCTAGAAACCAAGAAAACTCCTTGTAACACCAAAGATGAATTAAAGGCAAGAATTATGGCAGCATGCACCAACTTAAACAAGGAGACCATCCAGAAGAGTTGCAGGAGATTCCAAAGTCATTTTCAAGCAGTGGTTTAAGCCAATGGCGATTTTATTGAATAAATTTACTCTTTAGTATTTCAAGATATTTTTTTTTAATAATTTTAGTAAATATATCTGTTAAAATGAAATATCAGTGTTATTTTCATTTTTGTGTAATTTAGATGACAATTTATCCATCGCAACCTGTATATATGTAGGGATTTTCTAAGATTAGCTTAGATGTGGCACGAGGCCTAAAGCATGGGGCACCCAGTGAGGATCGAACTCACTATTCAGTCGTAATTGTTCTAGCGATACAAGCTTGCTAACCATTACACCGCCGCGAGGTGCCCAACCTGTATATATGTATGCTGTGACAATATTTCAAGGCACACTAGTGTGTCATGGCATGGCATTTGAGAATCACTGATCTAAGGTATGCCAATTAGTCAGCATAACCATTGGTATTCAAATGCATCATCAGTACCATCTGTGCTAATTACCTTTTTCCCCAACAATTAAGAGGACATAACCCATTTAATGATAAGCACCACGGAACAAGAAAGCAACCCCTTTTTGGAGAAACAAACAATTCACACCAGACGTATTCTGCCTAGAGTCTATTGCCATATGTCTATATCTCTGAGATGATGTATTGTAACTATTTACACTATTTGGATTGTTGTTCTTATCTTAGTTGTCCCCAAGGACACATGTTCCAGTGGATAAAAGTGCTGGTTAATTGATCCAGAAATGACTTGACCTAAAGAGTTGTGAGTTCAATCTGTGGCCATAGTAGAGGGAACAAATACTTGGAGAATTGAGTTAGCTAAAACTGAAATATCCAAAGACATGGCACATAGAATTAGAACAATCTACGCCTGTGGACTAAATAAAGGGTTTAGTTCAAAATTCCATATCACCTGAAGACGGTCAGAGCATACAACAGCTGAATGTTGTAATAAAGATGAGGACAACAGTCTGAATGGCATAAAACGTGTAAATAGTTACAATACCTCATCCCAGAAATATAGACAAAGCAACAGTAATAAGGCAAAGTGTTTATAAACTAACACACAAAAGGGATACAGGGAAGTGTTCGGACTTCAAAACAAGAAAGAACAGAACTAAGTTGGAGGAGACTGAGAAGTTGCCTATATTATTGGCTAGGAAGAAATCCCAGCATGCATCTGTATGTTTTGTCTATAAATTTAGGGAGAGGGGTGTGTTTTTTGCAGTCATTCCCACTTGGATTGGAATCAACATAATGAACATTGTTTTTTTTAGCATTATATAGACAGAAAAGATTCTTATGAACTTTGATGATATTCACTCCGTGCTAATAGGAATATATATTTGAAAAACAAGGTGGATAAAATAAGTAAAGGTTTATTGTAAAAAAACTAGTACTATAAGAATAAAGGTAACAGTTATGCACAAGGTCGTTGCAAGTCAATCCCATGGTTGGAAGGTTGGTAGTTCTCGCGTAAGTCTGAGTCGTACTCAACAGATCCCAGCTAGCCTCTGTAGTCCGTTGACTTACAGATACTTATAGGTAGTAACTACCTATAATGTAGTCACTCATGGAGGTGACAGGTTATTCCATTACATCACTATGTCATTTTCTTTGTCTTATAGATTGGTGGTAATGATCAACTTGGCAACATTGTCTCTGGCTACGAACTTATCAGTCAAATTAACCAGACAAAAGTGTTTGGTAAGAATTCTTTTTTCTTTTTCCCTTATAAATTTAGTTCAATAAATGATTCTCTGCAGACTATTTCTGTTAATACAGTTTGACATCAGAGACAATTTGAATTGAAATATAATTTGGGTTATTGATGTGCATAATAAATATTAGATATATAACTATATGTAATTGATATATATATATATATATATATATATATATATATATATATATATATATATTATATTTGTAAGCAAATATATGGATATAGATCCGACAGTATGAAGAAAAATATACGGAAAAAACAAATCCCAGTCTGATGAAATCCTAACGGATGAAACATGCCACAAAAACTATTTTTCTAAATAATGTTTGTTGATATATAAAAATATACAAAATTATATATATATATATATATATATATATATATATATATATATATATATATATATATATATATGGGATAACAATTTTAATGGATAGAAGTATGTCAAAGTGGAAAAAATTCTTGTTTGACATGTTTCATCCTTTAGGACTTTATTGGACTAAGTTTACGTGACTATACACACACACACACACACACACACACACACACAAACAAAATTTTTTTTTATATCTTTTGGGTATATAAACTAGCCAATTTCATTTAGATTCTTTTTATTTTTGTTTAGGTTTCCATCACTTTTGTTAATAAATATCCCACAAGCGCAACTAATGCATTTAATGTGTTGTTTTGTAAAAGATCCCTTTCATGTTCATGTAATCTTTTATTTAAATTTCTTTAAGTTTTTCCAATGTATTTCTTATGGCAATTATTGCAAATGTTAAATTCCTCCTTCAAGTTTTAGCTTATTATTTTGTTTTCTATTAAGTTTTTATTGTTTTAGGCATAGTTATGACAAATTATATTTTGAGTTTAGATAAATTCTTTTCAGTTGCAGTTGTGATAGAGTTGGTGGATAGAACAATATATTTTGATTCCTTATTTTTTTTCAGAAAGGACCACTTTTCTATATTGAAATTTTACGAGTATTTTGTTTTGCATTGAATATGAACTAGGGTATTGGAGGAGGTTAAAGGCTTTTATATAGATTTATATAATTGATAAGAATATATAAATCTGTGGTCTCCAAAGTGGATAATATTGATCCCTGGGTGTCAATAGGACAAACAAGCCTGTTGATAAATACTTGTAGGTATGGTGACCTAAAACCAAAGTTCACCAATTTCCGACCAAAATAGTAATGCCCTTGCTACCATTCACCAAAAACATACACCCCATTGATAATGTCAACCAATTCAATCAAAATGTATATTGATTGAATTTTAATGCATTTTATATTAACTATATTATGAAATTTTGTTGTTTTTCTTTCATTACTATTATGATTATTTTTCAAACAACTACATCTTGGATAGAAAGAGAAATTGAAAAAGGAATGATATGTAACGCTAAAATGAATCGTATTGAGAAACAATAATGAAGGAAAGGAATAAAGGAATTTCTATCCTTAAATAAAAAATAAGTAGAGATTTTTGAGGGATCAAGGATCCCATGAAGAGGTCAAAAGTTGTTTTGAGCATTCCTAACATTACAATATTAAATACTTGAATTAATATTTTTTATAAATATTAACTTTTGTATTTTTTAAATTTATAATAATGCTGAAAAAATTATTCAAATTTGTATTTCATTTTTTACATATATTTTTCTGTCAAAATAATAATGCTGTCAATGGAAAACAGTTATCACATATAATTTCATAATTAAAAGTTGATATTACAATAAATAAATACAGTAAACTTTATGAAGTACAGTGGATAATAGATTGAATTGATTAATTGGAGATCCAAGTTCAAATTCCAGTTGAGTTCATTATATTCACTTACATGCTAATACCCTTGGAAAGGGGATGAATCCAACTCTTCTTTCTCCAGCTATGGGTAAATAGCAGGACAGACTGGACCCTATAGCCTTGGTTGCCAATCGGTCTAGGAGAAGGAAAACACTGAATTTGAACTAGCCTGGAGAGGTATGGTCTCTGTCAGTTTATCTTGGCCAAAACACACCACTTCTACTGCGGTTGCAGTACATATGGTGCCCTTATGAATCTAACGGTTACAGGATTCATGATTGTGATTACAATAAAGGGTTAATTTGTAGTATAAGCACCAAAAGTGTCCGGTATTGCAAATGTACCATTCTGGTGTGAAATTGCCTGCTTATTTTGAAAATGATGTTAAAACATTGCACTTGATTACTGTTTTCAATTTATCATCAATGTAAGTTTGATGTCTTGCATTGTCCATAACTTTTAAATGGTAATCAAGCATAATGTTTTAATGTCATTTTTGAAATAAGCAGGCAATTTCACACCAGAATGGAACATTCTCAATACTGGGGAACTTTTGGTGCTTAGACTGCAAATTAACCCAATAAAGATTTGGTATAGAAATAGAGCTATTTTTTTTTTATCTGAAGAAAATGTATAATTATAGACTGCTAAAGTTTTGTATCTGCTTTTTATTCAGGACTTACCACACCTCTTGTGACATCTTCAACAGGTGATAAATTAGGAAAATCAGCTGGTAATGCCATTTGGCTTAATTCTGATAAAACATCACCCTTTGATCTTTATCAGGTGAGTAATACAGACACCAACAGGTTAAAGTAATATTTGATTTGTATGCAAAAGTTCATCATCAGTCCACTGACCAGGTGCGGTTTGTAGGGATGCTGCACTGCTTGGCACCTAACCAGCTCCCTCCATATGTCTCTGTTGCATGCCAATGTCTGAATCTCTGTGAATGATCTCCTGGTTCACTCATGCTTAGATTCTTTGCTGTAGTTCTGCTATGAATATCATGTTGAAACACCAGCTCCCATACAATCATCAAAGTTAAGCAACATCAAACATGGTAATACCTAGATGGGTGACCATTTGGGAATGCCAGGTGCTGTAAGCTTGGATATGCAGGTGGTGTAATGGATAATATCTCTGAATTATTAATGGGAGAGCCAAGTTCCAATTCCAGTTGGGTTCATTATATTTACTTGTGTCTTGGGAAAGATATGAATTTACTTATTCTCCCTGCGACTATGTGTAAATTAGTAAGATTTATATCACTAAACTATTATTATCTCTAAAAAAAAGATTCTTAACATTCAAAAATATTTTCTGGCTTCAAATATCTTTGATTTCAGGCAGACATTCTTGTCTTTCCCAGTAAGTCTTAGTTTTCTAAAAGTTGCCATTGTTTGTGCTGCTTTTGAAATTATTTCTATTCTGAAGCCCTCTTTGCTGATAATTGAGCCAAGATATTTAAATTCATTCACTACTTTAATATCCTGATCATCAGATAAAATGAACTTTTCTATGTAGGAGATGCCAAAGATGGTTCTGTAGGATCATATTTCTAATGCTTGGATTCTTTGCTGTAGTTCTGCTGCTAATATCCAAGATTTGAAGGCAGATGGAAAGATTGAAAAGGCCAATATATGCAACAGTCTGATGTTCTTGTCTTTCCAGATAGGTCATAGTTTTGCAACAGTTGCCATTGTTTGTGCTGCTTTTGAAATTATTTCTATTCTGGAACTCTCCTCACTGATAATTGAGCCAAGATATTGAAATTCACTCACTACTTAAGTTCCTAAACATCAAATTTCATCTTGGTTGGAAGCCTTTTTTTTTTTATTAATGTTTATGAAATATCTAGAGGGTATTTCATCCAGTTTCTTCACCAGACCAATGCCAGTTGAACCATCTGTGACATCTGCTAAGCAAAGGTTTGTAATTTTGCTACCTGGTAAATTTTTCTTGAGAATCACTCTGTAAGAATATTTATATTTTTTTATTTTCTAAGGAAAGCAATTATGTGACTGACATAACTTTCTTTGGAGACTTTCTTTCTAGTAATTACTGCAAAAAGCCTTGCAGTATTTCTTAGCTGTAGTCTTGGAATTGGATAAAAATATGGTTGGAGATTTTTTTTTTTTCAAGATTTAAATTTCTTTCCTTTTTTTTTTTAAATGTAAATTTGATTTTTTTTTTTTTTTTTTTGAAATTTAAATTTCATTTTTTGTTTTTAATTTAAATTTATTTTTTTTTTTTTTTAAGTACTTTTTAAACATCCCTGATGATGAAGTGGAGTTATTGCTGAAGCTGTACACATTTCTCTCAGATGACTTTATTCAAAAAACAATGGCCAAACAAAAGGTAAAAACTGATTATATCAATTTCCCATTTTATTATGCATTCACGACTAGTGAGAGTGCTGGTTGGACCCAAGGCTGGGGCTAACTATTGACAGTTCCCTGTGACAGTGGGGTCAATGTTTTGTGGGTGGGTTCATTTTTTTTTTTTTTTTTTTTTACATAATGATTAGATTTTCTAACGTAATTTATTCCATATTTGAGTGACATTTATTTTAATGCTAATATATTCATTTTTTTTTTGGGGGGGGGGCCCTTTTCTTTACTGGACTCTACCTCTCTCAATGAAAGAAAATGTAGAAATACATATTAAGAGTAATACATTTTTAAAAAGAAAGCAAAAAATATTATCAGCAATACACTTTAAAAAAAATTACGAATAATACATTTTTGTAAAAGAAATTACTAATGCTCTTAAGAAAATTAAATTTCGGCATTAAGTGATCTGTAATGAGTTGATATGCAGTTAAACATACAAAACAAACAAGTTCACATCTTTCTTGTTGAAGATATATTTGATTAGCTTTCCAAATATCCTGTGTGATGCTCCAATTATGTGTTCAATGTCTTACCTTAAAGAAATATTTATGCAAAAACATATAACACCAACAACAGATCGGGTACAAACTATATATCTATAAAACAAACGTTTACTTTGAAATTATAAAATTATTTACTAAGAATCTGTAGTTGAAGCCATAAAATTGTGTTCAAAATATTTAGATTTCAGCATTAAATAACCCATAGAGGTTGATATGCTACTAAACGAAATTACCCAAACCAATTTTAGTGCAGGGGTGTGGGTACTGTCTTAGAGACAGGTCTCTGAAAACTTATACTTCTTATAATAATCCCTGGTCCTAAAGAAAGCTGTGGAGGGCCATGATTGCTCATATCCTGAAGATATATATTGCACAGGCCACAAATTACCAACAGGTTCTCAAAAATACAGACTCCAAGTTCAAATGTCATTGAAGCTACATTTTTTGTTTTTGAATTCATGCTATTTCTTTAATACTTGTAGAGATTGTGCTAAAAAGCAACAATAAAGGTGAAAAGCAAAACTATTAATGAAACAGTTTAATTTAAAAAATTCACATAATTTAAAACTTCTTTCTAAAACAAGGGTCATCAAACTTTTTTAACCAGAGACCCCCCCCACCGCGTTGTTTCTGTTCCTTTCTCAGCGGCCCCCTTTTAAAATATCTTTTAACCTTAAAGCTTGCACTGTACTAACAAATTAAATTAAATAAACTAATATTGCATCACACTTGATGCAGTCATACCAATCCAGTCATACCAAATGACCTTCATTATCATAAACTCTATTTTACAGTTAGAAGTTGAAGAAAAGGGATCGTTATCTGAAAATCAACTTGGAACAATTAAAAAAGAGCAAGCAATGTTCAATGTAGCATTAAACAAGTCTCATCAAAATAAGTTTAAAGCTACTTGGACAGATGTAACTAAGGCTTTTTATTCTGTTGAATGTCAAGTTCAGTGTCTTTCTTTCATCTGCACCGAAGAATACAGCATACAAATATACTAACAAAAATTTAGTTCAGTGTCATTCCCATTCAACACCTTGACTATTATCGACCCCCTGGAACTCCTTACCGACCTCTAGGGGGCACTTGAACCCAGTTTGACAACCTCTGTTCTACAATTGTTGTGCTATTTTTTAAAATTTTTTTTCATTTAGTCATTCTAATGTGATTTATTCAATTACAGGCTCAACCAGAAAATCGACACGGGCAGAAAATTCTTGCTGAACAAATTCTTCTTTTGGTACATGGGGGTGAGTTTCTATAGACTTTTTTTGTTTAAACCAGTTGTTCTCAATCAGGGTGCATGTGGACCCTGGGGGTCCATATAACATTACTGACAGTCCAGACAAAAAAATAGCAAATTCTTGATGACATCAGCTCTTAACTTGGTATCTATGTTGATGACAACAATTTACTCCTGCCTCGATAGTAAGGCTTATTAGTTTGACAAGGTCAAAATGGCAGCCGATGTCCAAAATGCCTTCAAGTCCATTGTTAACTACTCTCCATTAATCATCTGAAAGACACCTTGCTACCTTCCATTGGCATGGCTGATGCTATCCTTCAGGAAAGTGACTTGTTGCACCTTCTCGGACTCACTTCTGTTGATATGAAGTGAAAAGACTATATTGAATTCTTTGCTAGGTCAGCTGCTAAGAAAGTCAGTTCACTATGTTAGATGACACAATTTTTTGAAAATTCTGGCAAAAATCAAATAATTTTCTGATTTTAATGAAATTTTCAGGACTTATTCACAAATGAATGAAATTATTTTTGAAATATTTTTTTTAGAAAATCTTGGTAAAAATATATTTTTTTTAACATCCGTTATCCCCCCTCCCACTTACTTAATTTTATGAAATTTGGATAAATTAAAATTTCAGGGTTTTTGTATTTATATTAGTTAAAAGCAGGATTCCTTGGAGAATTTAAATTAATTTGTTTTTGTCAAACAGAAACACCATTTACGAAAAATCTGCTCTGAATCGTAGAATAAAAAATGCAACAAAACTATGACATTATTTAATTAGAAAAGCTTTTAATTGCTTTTATAAATAAGATTTATTAAGGACACTATTGTCTTAAGAAAATTGTTTTTTTTTGATGAATAATGAATTTTTACAAGAATTGTTTTCATTTTTATAAAATTTTAATTAGAGAAATTTATTGTTTTAAATCATTTAAAATTCTGTATTAATTTCAGTGGTTTTGATGATATTATTATGTGAAAACTATATTTACTAATCATAAAAGCAAAAGCTTAATACAAATCGAACACCAATATTTTAAAAATAATTTTGAATTTTTTTTTTTTTTGTATAAATGTACTGTTTTTGTGTAAGTATGGGCAACTATACGCAACATTATCAGAAAATAAGTGCAATGACTATAATAAATTTAAAGCTAAAATTTCTAAAATTCAATAAAATATTAGATAATATTTTCTTAAACTTTTAAGTTCTTAAAAATTAAATTAAAAAGGTGCTCTTGCCATTTTCTTCAATTATGTTTTACAAATAAAGTCACCATAGAACAACATTAGATCTATTATCACCTCGTCAAACATATTAACATGGCTACTGTCAGTAAAAAACATAGCTACTGTCTGGTTAGAAAAAAGCATTTTTGCGATATTTTCAACTTAAAGTAAATAATATTTGTTTCAAATCAGATTAATTATATTTTAAATCAAATAATATTCCAAAAATAAAATTTCCAAAAAGTATATTTTATTTTTGGAAGATTTTTTTAATAAAGAGAATTACATCATGATGAAAGACAACTAAAAAAGTGCAGTAATCTGCTATTTTAGGAAAAAAATAAAAAAAATTATTTCCAGTCAATTTAAATTGGTTTCTGAAATAAAGCAAAGTATCCTGTTTTTTAGAAATATTAAATTTAATCTATTAGCTTGAAATTAAAACTAAAAGGAAAGCTTCAGGAGTGATTTTTCATTTTTTAAAATTCATTTCAAACTTTAGATATCACACATTTTGTGGAGGTCCATATATATATATATATATATATATATATATATAAACAAGTATAGGATTGGTATATACAGAATAAATTCCAATAACCAACAATTACTATTCTTAAAAGAGTGCTCAATTGTAGAGCAAATACAATTATTTATTTGAAAATTATAACATAAGTATGTTATAAAATCACTACAAAAATAGCCAAACAAAATGGCTATTTTTGTAGTGATTTTATAACATATTTATGTTATAATTTTCAAATAAATAATTATATATATACAATTCAAGAAAGACATTCGGATTATTAATACAAAAACAGAGAATGTCTCATATCGAGAATATTTAACATTGAAAAACATAAGGAAAAAATTAATTATTTTTAATAATATGTGGAAATCTCTGCTTTTACCTGAAGACGGTCACGAGACCAGAAACCTCGTGTAGTAAAAGTATAGAAAATAAAAAAAATATTTTTTTCTAAAAAATCCACATTACAACCAAAAACGTTTGTGGCACCTCTCTTCTCTTCTTTTTAATATACATACTTTTCTCTCGTTGGAACTGCTACAACCTCTTTCTTTTATATATATATATATATATATATATATATATATATATATATCTTAATTGTCTGAAGATCATAGTTATGGTTTGGGATCAGTGTCCCTAAATGTCTTCCTGATGGTTGTTATTGTTATGGGTTTGTCTTAGTTCAGTTCCCCATTTCAGGTTTCTTTATATTCTTGGCCTTGAGCACTGCTGATTTTTGTTTAGGGTGGTGTCTGTCTTTTTGTTTTTTTTCTTTCTCATATTTTTTTCAGGTCAAGCTTGTTCTTGGTACTTAGCCTTTCCTGCATACTTATTTTATTTTGGTTTCATGTGTTTGTGTGTGTGTGTGTATATATATATATATATAAAGACATGTCTCATTAAATAATTTACACAAGTTTTGTCTATTTATTTTTTAATAGGATCCTCTCATAATTATGGACAAGTTTCTTAGTATCTTTATTAAAGAAAGAAATAAAATTACTATGTTGATGCATATTCATTTTATTCCTAGTACTTTCAACATTAGCACAATGTTGTCATCAGGATCTTGTTTTTTCTAAGACAAAATTGTGTTTATCTGAAAATTAAATTTTTATGTGTGAAGTGAAAAATGCTGAGGTTTTGTATTGTACAATGAATATGCATTGACATGGTAATTTTCTTTCTTCCTTTAATAAGGTTACTAAGAAACTTGTCCATAATTACAAGAGGATCCTATTAAAGTAGACAAAACTTGTCTAAGTTATTTAATGAGACATGTCTTAATGAAAACATGCTGCCAAAATATATATGCTATATATATATATATATATATATATATAAAACTACAACAAAAGTTCATTTTCTCCATCAAGACATTAATTTCTGTAGTTTACTGCTACCAGCAAGCAGAAATATTTCTTCTCCCGATGATGACCATTTTGGCCAAAACTAGTCGAGGAATGTAAATGAAATAATAATAGAAAAAATGAAAAAATATTAATCTATAACACAGTGTGTCTGAAGATTTTAACTTTTTAATATTTTTTTATTGTTCAAAATATATATATATATATATATATATATATATATATATATAATATCAATGCAATAGGCATTAAATAATTATGCAGCACTTATTTTGATTAATTGCATTGGTTAGAACAATTACTTCACTATTTATATAAATGCAAAAAACGGTCTAAGTTGGCAATAATACAAGTGACAGATGGCTTTAAAAAGGCACTGTTGATTATTTATGGCTAATTTGTTTAAATAATGAACTGGCTATTGTTTGTTTCATGTGACAATAATTGTAAGTAAAATGATGCTTTAAAATAAGTGACCAAGTAATCGTTTTAAGTTCTCTGAATATCGGTGCCGAAAAAAAATAGTGATCTAAGATTGTACTAAGAAAAACTATTCTGAATCATCAGGCTGCAAGTGTTAGAATTGTGGTAGTTGCAGTCTGATGATCTGAAAGGTGACAGTTTACTCGCTAGCAAATCACCACACAGATTTTAATAGCTTCATTCATTTATTTTAATAATTTGTATCTTTTTCTTGTAGAAGAAGGCCTGAAGACTGCAAAACGGTGGACAGAGGTGTTATTTCATGGTAATGCCCAAATTCTCTGTGAATTGTCCAAAGCTGAAATGTCAGAATTGTTTCACAATGCATCCACTACTCAGGTGTTTTTAGAGCCAGGGACCACAATTCTGGACACTTGCATGAAAGCAAAATGTTTTGGAAGAATCAGTAAGTCAGTGTTTACTGTTTTTATTTTTATTTCTTAACAACTTTGATTGATGGATTCATTTTTTACAGCTTATCAACCCTTTGCAAGTTGTTTAAAGCCAGAAAATACTTTTAGATTGTAACAGTTTTTTTTGGTTTTTTTTAAGCATAATAATGATTTAGTTATACAAATCTTACTAATTAACCCATTGTTGGAGAGAGAAGCGGTGGATTCACAAGGGTTTTCACTGGAATTGGAACTTGTTTCTTTGAGTACCAATTCCAAGCCATTATCCATTGCACCAACTGCACATTCAAGCTTATGGCACCTGGAATTCCCAAGTAGTCAGTCTATTGAGGTACTGATCAGGCTTGACTCCATTTGCTTAATTTCTGTGACCATGTGGGAACTGGTTTCTCATCATGATATAGCTGTAAGCAGCAACTAAGTACAAGAATATCTGAATAAAAAAAATTCAATTGCTAGCTCTGCTGCTAGGAAAGTTGGTTCACTGTGTTGTGCTAGACAATTTGTCTCTCCAGAATCTATCTTACACATTTATAAGTCTACCATATGTCCATGCCTTGAATATTACTGCTACATCTGGTCTGGTTGTCCTGCTATATATTTAGAGATCCTTGATAAAATCCAAAGAAGAATTTGCAATATTATTAGTTCTGACCTGGCATCTTGGCTTCAGTTACTTTCCTATTGGCATAATGTAGCTTCCCTGTGCCTTTTCTATAAATACTTTCATTGTAATTGTTCTGATGAACTTTGCTCTGTAGTATCTAGATTTTATGAATTTAAGCACAGTGCTAAATTGGTGTCAATGTCTCATCATTTTACAGTTGAAATTGCTAGATGTAATCATAAGATTTATACTGATAACTTCTTTTATAGCACTTCTCACTTGTGAACCTCTCTTCTGGCTTCTTAGTCAACATTGATCTTCAAAAATTTAAATGCAATGCCAATCGTTATCCTCCATCTTCTTAACTGTTGTTCTTTTATTGTTTTCTCTCCTGAATAGTGTTTTTTTTTTCCATTTTCTCTTACACCCAGTAACCCCTTTCGTCTTAGTGGCTTTATTGCCTTGCTTGTGGAGAAATGATTACAAAAAATTATGTTATGTATGTATATGATTATTTATATGTTTTTCTTATAAATGCCTGGGATATCTACCTTGTGGCTTTATTACTATTAGTAATTTCGTTTTTGTATTTATTTTAGTTGATGCTGAACGTGTAATCAAAGCTGGTGGAGTTCGTTTTAATCATCGCCGTGTTATGCAGCCAGACCATGTCCTCATCTCAGGGGAGCACATTCTGCCTAACGATTTGACATTGATTCGTGTTGGTGAGTTATCTCCCTTTTTCTATATATATATATATATATATATATATATATATATATTTTTATGTACTACGATTTATACTGTGCAACAATAGATACCATCTTTCTGTTTTCTCTCTACTTTCCACACCTCTGTCTTTTTCATTCCAATTTCCAACTCCACTTTAAGCCCCTGTCTTTCTTGCTGTTTCTCTTCTTGTCAAATTTTGCCTCTTGAACAAAATTTGTTTTTCTCTGTTTCCAAAGCTTCCCGTGCTGACTTTAAAATGAAAAATTATTTTACTTTAAATTATTTAATATAAAAAATTAATTCAACATTTCACTTATGGTTGACTGAAATTTATCAAAAGTAACTCTAGCAATTAGTTCATTTTTTTTTTTTTTGAATAGTTCTTCATAGATGCTTTTAGGAAAAGTGAGTAGAGTGGTTTTTCTCCACTTTTAAATTCAGAATTATCCATCTAGACTGGCTACTACTCAAAGCTAGAGAATGAAGCTATTCTGCTATTTAGCAGGGAGAGAAAAAAATGAATTCATACCTTTCCCAAGGGCATTAGTGTAAAAGTGAAAATATCAGATAACACTGGAATTTGAATTCAGCTCACCAAGTCCTTTTCTATCTGTACATCTGTTAGCTCAGATAAATTTTTTAATTTAGCAAATCTGAATTCCTACTCAAAGATTTGAAAGATTAGCCTTTTGTACTCAGAAGAAATGAATGTATTGTGAAATATTACCTTACAATTTTTGAATTAGTATTAAGTAATTAAATCTATAGCTTAATAATAAGAAAAGCATTTCTTTTACACATCTGATGTCTAATTTTCCACATAATCTTCTTCCTTGTCAATGGATTTATTTCAGTGATGAGTATTACATAGATTGTAAGTTTACTTCAACCATCAAAATATGACTGCAATATTAACATCCCAGAACCATCTTGAAAAACAATTTTATTCATTCTGAAAAAATTTTAAATGATCCCAAAATCAAAATGTTTTTCTTAACTTTTAACTTTTATAATTGTTAACGGCATAATAAAAAAAGAATTAAGATATTTAGGAAATAAATTAAAAGTTAAAATATTAAAGTTTTAAAAATGAGTAAATTATTTAAATTTTACTGTAGTTTTTATTAAAATTACAATTTTATTTTAAATTGAAAATTTCAGTTAAATTACCTTGATTAATGTTACACAGAAATGTTCTTAATTAATTTTCATGTTCAGAATCAATTTTGTCATACTTTAATTTAATTTTAATTGTTCTCTTTGCCTTTATATTCTATATAAATAATATATGGGAATTTCAAATATTTGTAATAAAAAAAGTTTTTAAAGTCTTTATCAAAAAGTTTTCTTTTACAATCACCTGCCTCATATTCTAACAAAATTTCCATGTTTCATTTATTATTTTCTAATTGCATTTAATTTGCATTTTCCACTTAGTTTATGATAAAAACAAATCTGTGTATCTCATGTTAATATTGTCCCCACTAGTAATAAATCCTGGTAGGATTTCTAATTCTCTTAGGATTATTTTGTGGTAATGGTTAAATAAATCTAGTGAGAAGTTGCCTGCTTGTCTTATTATGCCCCTTACAGATAGCAGCTTGATGTCAGTCCTGCAAAATGACATTGTGTAAGGAAATTAGATTTGAAAACAATTTTTTAAATTTATTCACTGAATTTTCAATGAATTCTTTCATTAAAAACATTTGATTTTATTTTTTCAGGAAAGAAGAACCATTACATTGTACAATGGCTGAAATAAGTGACTGAAAATGATACCAAATGTAGAAAACAGAAAAGAAAAACACTTTTGCAAAAAATAAGCTGGAATGCGTGGAATGTCTTGAAGAATGAAAATAACAAAAAAAAATCCAATTAAAAGAATAGATGAATGAGAAAAAAATAAGTACAAAGAAGGTGAAGATTTGAAGTTGCAATAACTAAAAAAAACAAAACATGGGGGCAAATGGGTAAAAGAGATGAAAAAGACAGACAACTCAAAGAATAAAATCTTTGACTATTTTCAAATTCTTGACTCATTAACTCTTCTATAAAGAACCATGATACATTTTCAACACTTTCACGTGTATAATTCATCCAGTAAGAAGAAATTCCCGACCAGATCTAGAACAATCTATAGATATACCAAGAGGCAGAAATCAGTTGTAACTCCCTTTGAGTGTAAATCACAAATTTGCTTTAAGTTTTATTTTTAGCAAAGGAGAAAGAAACATGCTTTTTGTGAAATAATTTCTGTATCCAAACTTAAAAAAAAAAACATGACTTTAACTTGATATGTACAAGTTTTGACTTTTTCTTTTTCTTAAACATCAACCATTCTACATTAGGACAGGTTGATTTTGAAACTGTGGTATTGCACTCAATTTGAAAGTTGGGGTTTGACATGATAAATAATGACACAAAATTTTTTTTCCAAATTGCTACTGTTTTTTGAGGAAACTAGTTTAAAAATTAAGTTTAGTTTCAAAATCATAGAATTGGAATTTCACTGTGGTGATCAATGAAAGCCTTGTAAAATTTATAATTTCCTGGAACTTTACAAATTGTATATGGACAAGATGCATGACACAAGCACATTATTACTAAAACATAGTGTCATGAAATAGGAACTTCATTTACTTCAAAGGTAAATTATACAGAACAATTTAGCTATATTAGCAGTAGTTTTAATGTGATTTTCAATAAACAATGCAAATTTAAAACATTTTGTCTTATAATTTGTGCCCAGCAGTATTATGGTGTTATGTACACGTTCATCTATTTTTTGGTTTTTATTAATTTTCATTTAATAAATATTATTCATTGAGTAGCCATTTTGTAATTTTTCCATTTTTTTTTTACACAGTTTTTACTTATCAAATACAGTAAATAATTGCATATTTTGCTTGTGGTGATTCATAATTAGAATTCTGGTTTGAATATATTTTCAATTCAATGTATCTGATACAAAAGATATTAACTTAAATCCAAATGGATTTAATTTTAAAATAGTAAAAGTAATAGTAAAAATTTGAAGTCAGTTTGTAAGCAAAAACCTGCAGAAATTAGGTATTTCTCTACATTTTTTCAGATGATCTTTAAAACTAAATACTCAAAAATTGGTAAAAGCTAATTTTTGGTGTCAGTACATATCACATCAAACTCCAGATTTCATACCAAGAGCAATGTTGATTTTCTAAAAGTGAACAAATCAAATTGCCCTATTGTACATATATAAATTGTTACCCAAAGGTTTTATTATTCCAAAAATTTATTACATAAATCTTCTGCACTTGAATGAATGAATTGGATGTGATTCAGAGTTCAAACTCTGGGCCAGGCTGTGTAAATCATCTACTCTAAGTTAATTAATAAATTCAATAGTCATAACTTCAGAAAGCTACTTTGGGATGAACACATATTAATACCTCATGGGGAACATTTTTACCTTCTTTTAATATAAAACTAATCAAATTTATCTGTACATCAACTAGAAGTTTGACAAGATTTAATTAGACATGGAATGGACATATAAATTTCAATATTATAAATATGTGGCACCATGCATACCTAGCGAGCTGAAAAGAAATATTCATAAATATATGATTTGTTTTTTACGGGTTGTCAACCATTTGATAATTATTTAGGGCTGAAAAATATTTCGGGTTTTAGGAATAATTCTTTCTTTACGTTCAAGCGATCTGGAAGAAGGAAAGAGAAAACGAAGAATAAAGAAAGAAAACATAATACGAAACCAGGTCATAAGCGAGCACACGGGCACGGGTATGATGATACCAGATGTCAAAAAAATATCAGGTCAAGCACCTGACCTACTTCCGTGTCCACGAAAAATGGAAGTTTGTTATCAAATGGTTGAAGAAACAAAGTTTAGGGACAATGAAAAATATGACAGGTAACAGGTGGGAAGTGTATCTAAGGATATGAAGACAAACCATTAATATGAAAACACAGACAATTTCCAGAATTGGAAAAAAGCCACACAAGATGATGTTCGCTGAAAATGTTTTTTTTGAGATAATGAAAATTTTATTATCAGGCCTTTGGCTGGGAAAAAGTGAAATATTTTTATTACGTTCACGGAAACGCCAACAGGTCTGAGAAATCCCTTTCTTAGGTCATATCCAATTAGCAATAAACTGCTTGACAAATACCACGTGTTAAAAAGCCGAAGGTGTCATCACAGTCGCTCATGATAACGGCGATTTAAATTTTTTTTTTTTTTTTTTAAGCAAGGTGTTTCTTCCCCCAGAACAAAGCCACGGATTGTCCACACCCAACTAAAGACGTCATTGGCTAAATAAGATCACATGACAGACCCACCCCAGTTTTGACTGCGTCAATAAAAGCGGGACCCCAACCGACAGAAATCAGTTTGAGCGCGGACGGCGGGCCAGGTTCATTCGCCCCTTTGCGGGCAAGAGAGGCCAGTTCGTTTGGCCTAAGAGAAGAAGTTTGTCCAACCGAAGCTGAAGAGAAGAAGTTAATTCCCGCACCGACGGCGGAGATGAGTGACCAGTAATTCAGACTCTGAAGGGAAGAAGTTTGTGCCACGGACGGCGAGGGAGTTTCAGCCACGGACGGCGAGAGAGTTTGAGTTGGAGTTTGAGCCGTGAACGACAAGCAGAGATGAGCGCCCAGTGTTGAAACCGCGTCCAAGATAGCTGACCAAGATTCACGCACACTTCTGGACCCTTCTTCAACCAAGAACAAGTAGTTTGAAGAGCGACTTAGAATCAGACCACAGAAATAAGTTTTTTTTTTTTTTTCGACTTTGCGTCCAAGGACACGCCAAACACAAATTTCTTAGAGAGCAGACAACTGGAAGCCTTAAAGTTGCCTAGTAAAAGCGCCGTGCCACAATCCACAGAACGGGTCGGAAGTAGACATAGTCCTATGTACCCGAGCAATTAGACATAAAAGTTTGTTACCTTTTTCTTGATACGTTGGACCTTGTGAGTTTTTATTTTATTTCTTTTTTTTATACATAATTGTGTGTTATCACCCCGTTAGACTCAACTTGCATTACCCCAAGCCCTGTTTGATCTCGTCTGTCTAAGATCAAGTCACAACATGGGTAGGCAGACCGGAGATCAGTGCAGTTACCCTGGTAACCAGGCGTTGGAAGCGGGTTGAGAACGACGAATAATATCAATCTAACCAAAGGGTTAGAACATCACGTTTGGAGCAGCGAGGAAGTGAACAGCTGACGCTGCGACAAAAGACGCGTCAACTGGTGCTGTCCGTGACCAGGATATCAGAGCCTGGGGAGCAACGTGACGTCTTAATTGGCGCCTTGAAGCGGGATCGAACGACACAGTTGACGCTGCGACCGGGGGACAACGTCACAAATATATCAGAGACTTTGGTAAGTAGACGTTTTACAGATGATCTTGTGTCATCAAAAAAAAGAATTCTATTTCAACAGAACTAAATCATCATTGGTTAAACAAAATATTGTTAATGTTAAGCTCCTGAACAGTATTTTTAATTTAATTCTAGAATTATAATAGAAATTAGATTTAAACTAATTTAAAGAAATTAGATTTAAACTAATTTAATTAAAGAAATTAGTTTTCAATTTCAACTTTTTTTTTCCTTACACAAACATGTATCCACATTGTGTAACAATTCAATCTCTGAAATGATATATGTTATATAACTTTTCAAATATATCCATGAATTCTTTAATGGGAATTAATTTGTATAAATATTTTTACTGCATGAATGACGGCACTTTCATTGATACACAGATACAGATATATATATATATATATATATCAGTTAGATCAGGGCTACAGGAATGTAGGATGCCCATGGCTAAGATACAAAGACAAGCTGAAAAGCAACTTGTCAGCAGTTAATATACCACATAACACTCTTGAGCACTCAGCTTTGGAGTGGGTAGAATGGAGATCAACGTGTTTTAGTGGACTCAGCAATTTTCAATCTGCTTGTCTGAATCATCTTCAAGAAGTGAGAGCAAGTTCTAAAAGGTCAGCCAATCTAACAGTGATCTCATCTCACAATCCTCACACTTGCTCCATATGTGGCCTCCTTAAGATTATCGCATAAACTTTCATAACTGAATCAATAAGCTGGCAGATCCTCATACATTGAAACCGACGGGAGAGTCCATTATATATATATATATATATATATATATATATATATATATTAAGGCATTAAAAACAAGAAATTTTATATTGTAGGCCATGATAGATTTAAAACAAAACACACACCAGTCGACCAGTTTCATCCCCTCTCATCAGAACTGTTAACGGTGAACTACAATTATGAGGAAAAGAAAAAGAAAAAGTCTGTCATTGATGACATGAATGAGTGGAAAATATAAAAATTATACCAACCAAGATGCTAGAAGCGCAGCATAGCAAGTCCAAGCAAACAATCTCTTTGTTTACAAAGAGCAGGTTGCCTGGACCTGATGTAAAGCGTCTCCAACACGTTAAGATGGATAATGAGTGTGAACTGGCCAAAACGGAAAACCAGTTCAGACTGAAATCCATCGCACAAGTGGGATTCTTTATAAAGTGATCCGCAATCGAAGATCCATACGTGTTACGAATGGTATTACCCGAAGAAAATTTTTTATTCAGTATTATAGCAGGTATGTGTTGTTTAATTCTAACGTCCAACCACTGTTTCGTTCTACATATGTAATCACATACACAACTACATTTGAAATGGTAAATAACAGAATTAATATGGTGGGGGGGGGGTAGAACATCTTTACACATAGATGAAAGTACGGACTTAGTTTGAAAGACTCAACTGCTCTGCCATTTCAGAAGAAAGAACACCACTTTTTACCCATTTGACAAGACGTTTCTGAAATCGAATTTCAGAAGTCAGCGTAGAATCATGAGTGTCAATGGAACCAAGACGTTGAAACTTGGAAGGATCATTCAGTATACTTAACATTTTGTTAATGTAGTCATGACAGTCCATGAGGACAACACCCAATCCCTTATCCGGTTTCGTAATAACCAAAGAATGGTTATTCTTAAGGGATCTAATAACCTTATGGTGTTCACTTCTCCATTTCGATTCAGAGAAAGAAATAGGAGAACTAGCATAAGAATGAGCCAAATCATTCAATTTAGCTCGAAAGTCACTGGATTTATCATCAGACACCGGTTGAAGCTTCGAGAGTTGAGCATAAAATACTTCAAATTCAGAAAAAATATTCTCCCTACTAATAGAAGTAAAAGGAATACTAAAGTCTAAGCCATGGGCCAAGATAGCAAGTTCAATCTCTTAAGGAGAATAAGAAGACAAATTAACTACATTTTTTGCAGCATTTGGTTCAACTATACAGCCAAATCTCTTGGAGATAAGATGTTTTAACTTATTCTGAAAACTGCTAGCCATCTTAGAATGACAACGTGCAGATATCAAACCAACATAACGGGCAAAGCGGATCCTATCAAAATATGATAAATAATTACCTGCCTCACGCCATAACAGATGATATCTTCTTTGTAGGCTCAAATCCTGGTTAGAAAATTGTAAGAGAAAATCCTTAATGAAGGCTCTCTCTATACTCCAACCAGACACCAACTTAGCCCGCCTAATCCGAAAGGAAATAAAAGACGGGCAAACCTGGTGCTGAAGACAAGAATGTAAAAAAGTTGTCTTCACCTTCAATGTTTCAATTTTAGACCTAATCTGTAACATTTTATTCAATTTTCTAATTGACTCAGGGGAGTACCTTTTCTTAAAATATTTAAATATGTTTGAAACGGTACAAAATCATATTAAGGCATTAAAAACAAGAAATTTTATATTGTAGGCCATGATAGATTTAAAACAAAACACACATCAGTCGACCAGTTTTGTCCCCTCTCATCAGAACTGTTAACGGGGAACTAAAATTATGAGGAAAAGAAAAAGAAAGTCTGTCATGGATGACATGAATGAGTGGCCAGGGAGAAAAAAAAATTATAAAAATTATACCAATCAAGATGCTAGAAGCGCAGCATAGCAAGTCCAAGCAAACAATCTCTTTGTTTACAAAGAGCAGATTGCCTGGACCTGATGTAAAGCATCTCCAACACCTTAAGATGGAATAATGAGTGCGAACTGGCCAAAACGGAAAACCATTATGACTATTATAAACCTGACAATGGACCTTTATCTACCTTACTCCCGATGATGTAAACTGGAACTTTGTTTACCTTGCCCCCCACAATTCAGATGGCACCAGTGTCCACCTTGCTTCATTTCGTGTAGATGGAACCTATTCCTGCTTTAAGGGACCAGTGTCCATCTTTCTTCTGCAGTGCAGATTGGACTTGTGCCCAACTTGCTCCCTGCTGTGCACATGGGACACTTTGCTCTCCACACGAAAAGACCAGCCTCCACCATGTTTGGATTGGCTACATATTTCATTTATCTCTGCATTTTTATAACATTTGACATTCCTGGCAGATTTTATTGTTGGGTACATTTATCATTTTTTCTTCTATTTATTATTTCCTGTGTCAGTGAAGTTAGCTAATATAATCTCTGAAGAGGAGTGCGACTTCCACAGAAAGAGGTACCTTTCTTGTTGGATAATTACTCTCTAGGTTTGTTTTGTTTTATGGCATATCAACCTCAATGGGTTATTTAATGCTGACAGAACTTTTATTGCTGGTAATTTTTTTTTATATGTATTGCTGGTAATATTGTTTTCCTTAAAAAATCTATGTTTGGTAATATTCATTTCTTTCAAAGATCTATTTCTGGTAATATTTTTTCTTCAAAAATGTATAGCTGGTAATATTATTTTTGAAAACGTATTGCTGGTAACAATGTATTTCTGGTAATAATTTATTTCCTTCAAAAATTTATTGCTGGTAATAATTTCTTACAAAGTATTTCTGGTATTAAAACTTATTTTTACACTTTCATAATGTTTTGACCCAAGTTTGGGGGTTAACTATTTGCCCGTAGCTGGGACGTTAACAGGTGCTATCACCCCGAGTCAGAGTGGACCTGGGGACACCAGCAATTAACAGGTGTTTCCATGCTCCTCAACACCTCCTGATCAGAGGCCTTGCTGTTGGACGTAGTTTATTGTCTTACCCAGGATGCGGATGCAGTTTATCGTCATACCCAGGATGGTTACTCTCTAGGTTATGACCTGTACCATTGTTTACATTTCTGGCCTTTTGTCAACTGGAATTGTGCCTTGGTTTTTGACTACAGTGTAAACTGGACCTATCTATACCGTACTCCATGCAGGTCAGTCTGGACCTTGTAGATTTGAGATATTCCTACATTGCTCCACTGCAGTGCAAACTGGAACAGTTCCTCAACTGCCCCCTGTAGTGTAAGTTGGAATTCTTCCTGCCTTTCTCTCTGTGGTACAGACTCTCACTGTTCCTACCATGCTCCCTACGGTTCCGGTCGGACATGTGTCGACATATTTACTGTAGTGTTATGGATTATGCCTCCAGTCAAGTTTGTTACATTCACAAATACCCTTATGAAAAGTATGAATTCATCTCTTCTCTTCCCAGCTATGGGTTAAACAGCAGTGCATGTATGGCTGTCTACCTGTGGTTGGCAATCTGTCTGGAAGAACAATTCTGAATTAAAAAAAAAACACTTAGACATGGTATAGAACCCAGGAACCGCCACTGCCAGGGTTAGAATAAAGACATCAGCTGCAGGATGTTGTTACATTTGTCAGATTCTACTATTGAACTGCAATAGCATCATACAAAAGATCCTTCTTCCTGGACAATGGGTGAGACTTAATTATTCCAAATCAGATGGGAACTATGTTTTATTTCTTAATATATGTGCAACTGAAATCCTTATGATGATTCACAGTTTGTTGCTCGATGAATATATTTATTTATGTAACCAGTTTTTCACAACATTTTAGTTTGTAAAACTCTGCAAAAATTTCCAGGCCAACCAAAGACTTCATGTCGGTCAGAGTTCCAGCTGAATTCCAGGCAAAGGAATTAAGTTATTTGCAGCATTTCTTGATGAAATATAGTAACCAGCATTTGTTGTATTTCCTCTGTCTCTGTTTATATAAGACTTTATCAATAAAACCATTATTAATCTGAAGAAATCCTTTTTTCCATTATATGAAGCAGTTAGCCAATCAGAATTATCATGGGATATCACAGTATTGAGTATACTATTATCATTAGATGAGAAAAACTGAAATCTCTCTAAGCATAACTGAACTTGAGGAAAAACTCCGAAACACTTTCAGATGTAAAATCATTTAAATAAAATATCCGAGCCGAAGAAAATACATCAAGGGAGGTAAATCTGAATTAACGGATTGACAAACTCGTTGATTCTATGAATACTGAAGATGAAAATATGCTTGTGAACAGTTCTTGTGAATAAATTTTCTTATTGTAAAATAACATTTCTGGTTAGTTAAAAATGTTTTTGGCTGTTTGCACATAAGTTACTCCCCATGTTTTGCTTTCAAGTCAAGTTTGAATTCATTCTGGCCTTTAAGAAAATGTTCATATCAATAGCAATCCTAATTCTATTTACATTAGTATTTCTGAAAACATGAAACCTTTGCCTATACAAAGGGCTGCTGAAAAGTTGAAATAACCAAGAAATTCTTCCTCCTAAAACTTGTGATGTTCTATCATTTGGTCAGGTCTTTGGGAAGTGGACTGAGTCAAAAACGTTTTAACAATCTCTTATATCTCATATATATATATATATATATATATATATATATATATATATATGTGGATTTAGGCATCTTTTCATTCATACATTCCATTAAATAATATAGACAAGTGTTGTCTATTTATTTTATGTAAATTTTTCGTAACGTCTGATAAGTTTAATAACATTATCGTTGAACGAAGAAAGAAATTCACAATATTGGTCCATATTTTTTTAATACAATCTAAGCTTTTGGCTTACATAAGCCATTATCAAAGATGTCAATTTCAACATATTAAGCAATATATGGACAAGACAGTGATGATAGTCTGTCATTGCTTACATAGATGATTTCTAAGCAACGATAAACACGTGCATATAAGACGCTAGATTGTATTAAAAGAAAAATATGGATCAATATTGTGAATTTCTTTCTTCGTTCAATGATAATGTTATTAAACTTATCAGACATTATGAAAAAAATTTACATAAAATAAATAGACAACACTTGTTGATATTATTTAATGAAATGTGTATGAATATATATATATATATATATATAACTAATAATACTCTGTTGGAAAAAAACCTTGGATAGCACACCTTGTAAGTCTATCAAAAAAAATTGCTACCCATGGAAAAAAATTAGAAAAAGGAAGAAAGAAATAGAAACATTCAAACAGGGCTAAATAAATCATCCAGTGCCTTAAGTTTTTAGTCCAAAGAAAAAATCCCAAGTGAATAACAAATCTAAAACTTAAAGTACTAAATACACTAAGTAGAGCAGGGATAAATGGAACAAATCCTAAAGAGCCAGGAAAACCTACTTAGGTTTCACCTAAACGGATCTTCAGGGTAAAGATGGCAGGGTAAGTTCCATTTAGGTGAAACCTAGGTAGGTTGTTCTTGGCTCTTTAGGATTTATTTCATTTATATATATATATATATATATATATATATATATATATATATATATATATATATATATATATATCTCTCCGGATACAAGGTTGGTATAGATGGAATAAATTTCCAGTAACCAAAAATACTATTTTTAAAAAAGTGCTCAATACAGAGTACAGAGAATAATATTTATTTAAAAATTATAACATAAGTATGTTATAACATTACTACAAAAATAGCCATTTTGTTTCAACACTTTTGGTGTTTTGTCAAGTGATAGTGCTGCAAGTAAAATGAAAAGTTTTTAAAGAGTTCAAAACCAACCACTACCCTGACTGGTGGGAATATTTTTATGTAAGATGTAATGGCCAATCAAATTACAAGTATATGATAATTCAAATAATGTGAAATAATATAGTTTTAAGGTGTGCTATATTTATGGAATAAAGTGCTCAATATCAGAGATTGAGTGTATGTAAATGTAAAAGTGAGCATTGAAGTCAACACTCAGAGATGACAGACTGTTGCATGCTAAAGAGAGTGCAACCTGAAGATTGTGTCTAGCATGAAATAGCCTGTTGTCTCTGAGTGTTGACTTCAGTGCTCAGTTATATATATATATATATATATATATATATATATATATATATATATATATATATATATATATATATATATATATATATATTTTTTTTAATATATATTACCATTAGAACACCTAAAATTCCCATGCTTCAAAACTGAAGCTTCAATTCAAATTCAATTACAAAAATTAAACTTAAAATACAAAGTTCCGCTCCATTATCAAATGATGCTAAAATAACTAGAAATTGATTTACTTAATTTATAAGTCCAGATAAACTTGATATTTTGAGATATTGTGGTTAAGGAAAATTCAATCTTTTTTATCTATTTATTTATTTTTTTTATTTTAATTATATGTTAACTTATTTAGAAAACTCATGTATCTAATATATTGTAGCTACCAAGTTGGTCAAGTCCAGGTGGGGAATGGGGTATCTGTTCATTGACACAAACTTCCTTTTTATCAAGTAGAAATTTGTTGTGATGATAATATATTTAAAAAAAAAAGTTATAATATTATGCTCTATGGTTGTATCAAGCATTGTTTTTTAAAAATAAGAATAAATGCTAAGAACTCTGAATTATAAATCTCATTGTTCTCTCCTATTATTCTAATATATATATATATATATATATATATATATATATATACATAAGAACTCTGAATTATAAATGTCATTGTTCTTTCCTTTATTATATATATATATATATATATATATAGAGAGAGAGAGAGAGGGTGAACTTGATTAAAAAAAAAATAATGAGTTCTCTATATATCTCACACGTAGACACAATACCACAAGTCAGAGGGATACATTAAGTTCTAAAAAGGAATGGAAAATTTAGATGTTTAGTTGAAAAAATTCCAGGCCTATACTTTTTTAAACTGATCCTTTCATAAAGTGATTTTTTAGATTTATCATCCTGTTGTAAATAATTTTTATTTGATTTTATTTTGTGCTTAATATTAAGAAATAAAACATTAGTATACAAATGAAACAAGTCTGAATATTTTGTGTTTGCGTATAAATATTTTAATATATTTTATGTATTCATTTACACCTGCATATGCACATATAACTGCTATTATGTGAATATGTATGTATATAGTTTTGTGTATGTGTTTCTTATAAATGTCCTGCGTATCTCCTTCGTGGCCTAATTACTGGTGAACTTTTCCTTCCTAACCTCAAGGGAGCGCATTCTGTCTAACGACTTAGCATTGATTCGTGTTAGGGAGTTATTCCCCTTTTTTCTATTAATTTTTGTTTATGTACTGTGCAACAATGTACACCATCTTTCTTTCTTATCATCTTTTCTCTCTCTCTCCCCCACTACGCCCTCCTTTCTTTCAAACCTTTCTCTTTTTCATTCCAATTTCTATCTCCTCTTTAAGCCCCTGTCTATCTTCCTGCTTCTCTTCTTGTTAAATTTTATCCTCTGAACAACATTTGTTTTTCTCTATTTCTAAAGTTTCTTGTGCTAAATTTAACATGAAAAATTATTCAATATAAAAATCGATTCACTATTTCACTAATGGCTGATTGAAAATTATCAAAAGTAGCTGTTGGAATTAGTTCATTTTTTATGTTTTTTTCGAATGATTCTTCATAGATTCTTTTCTGGAACACAGCTACTCTGCTACTTAGCAGAGAGGGAAAATAATTGAATTTATATCATTGTCAATTGAACCTAAGAAATTTAAATGTTACATAAATTTAAAAAAAAAATTATATTATACAAACATAATTCAGAATCCCATTAGTAGCCACAGAAAATTTGTTAGCTCAAGCTCTAGCCATCTTCTAGTTAAGCAGGAACAGGCAGACAGACAAAAAGAATATATTTGGTGAATTAAGACAAGTATAGCTCGACCCTCAAAATATGGCTGCAATATTTAATGTACTTAACTTTTTTCATCACCAACTAAGAACTGTCCTGAAAAACAACTTTAATCATTTTGAAAAAAAATTTAAACCATTCGGAAATCAAAATGGTTTTTCAACTTGTAGTGGAGTAATAGATAGCAACTTAGATTAAGGAGTCAGAGAGCTGAGTTTGAATTCCAGTTGAATCCATAATATTCACTTACATGCTAATACCCTTGGGAAAGGTATGAATCCTCTTCTTCTCCACCCAGCTATGGGTAAATAGCAGGACAGACTGGGTTCTATAGCCTTGGATAGCAACTGGTCTACTGCTGAAAGAAATGGCAACCTACTGTGGGGAAAAAAATCTGCCTCATCAGTCATGTATCGAAAGATACATGATTGCCTAAGTGTGTATCATGCATGGCACATAACAGACTGATATTTTATAACTGATAGTAGAATAATAAAAACACAAGATGTTTAGGAAATTAATTAAAAAAGCTAAAAGTTTTAAAAATGAATAAATACAAAAATTATTTAAATTTATTGTAATTTTTTTAAAATTACAATTTTATTTTAATTCAAACATTCCAGGTTACACAGAAATGTTAATTAATTTTCATGCTCTGAGTCAATTTCATTGTACTTTAATTTAAAAATTGTTCTTTTTGACTTTCATTCTATGTAAAGAATATAAGAGAATTCAAACTATTCATAATTAAAAAATTTTTTAAGTCGTTATTAAAAAGTTTTCATTTACAATCACCTGCCTTATATTCTGAGAGAATTTCCCTGATTCATTTATCATTTTCTAATTACATTTAACATTTAATTTGTATTTTCCATCTAGTTTATGATAAAAAGAAATCTGTGTGACTCATGTTAAGATTGTGTCCATTAATAATAAATGCTGGTGGGAATTTTAGTTCTCGTAAGATTGTCTTGCAACATTGGTTAAATAAATCTGGTGAGAAAATGCCATCTTGTTTTATGACCCTTGTAGGTAGCAGCTGATGTTGGTCTGGCAAAATAATATCTAAGTGTAAGGAAATTAGATTAGATAATTATTTAAATTTAGTCATTGAAATCACATAATTCTTTCCTTAAAAACATTTGTTTTTTTTTCAGGAAAGAGAAACCATTACATGGTACAATGGCTGAAATAAGTGACTGAAATTGGAACAAAGACAATTATATTTTACAATGGCTGAAATATGCTACTGAAATTGATCAAAAGACAATTACATTGTACAATGGCTGAAATAAGTGACTGAAATTGAAACAAAGACAATTATATTTTACAATGGCTGAAATATGCTACTGAAATTGACCAAAAGACAATTACATTGAACAATGGTTTGAGTAAGTGACTGAAAATGAAGCAAACAAAACATAAAAAAGAATGGAGAAAAATTTTTGAAAAAATAAGCCAGACTGGGTTGAATAAATTGAAGAAGAAAACAAAAAGCTGAAAATATGATTCATAAAAAAAAGACACAAAAACCAAGTGAATGAAATGAAACCAAGTAGAAAGATTTGAAGTTGCAAAAAGCAAAAAAAGATTATTTAAATGAATACCTCCTATATCCCTAAAAATGTGGGGGTGGGTGTAAAAGAGATGAAGAATACGATTACTAATAACACACTTGCCCCCAGTGTTTTCATGTGTATAGTTCACCTGTTAAGAAGCAATTCAAACCGGATCTAGAACAATTTATAGATCTGCCTACAGGAAGGAGTCAGTTGTAACTCGCTTTGAGGATAAATGATGAAAAGTTTTATTTTTATCAAAGGAGAAAGGAACGGATTTTTTGAGAGTGAATTTCTGTACTAAATCTTTGAAAAAAATGACTTTAACTTGATTAACTTTTTTCTTTTTTTGATAAACATGAACATATATAAATTGTTACCCAAATTTTAATGTTCTAAAAATTTATTACCTGATTCTTCTGAACTACATTGTCTGAATTGGATGTGATCCAGAGTTCAAGCTCTGAACCAGGCAGAGTAAATATTTTTTTGATTTGTTAATAAATTGAATAGTCATAACACCAGAAAGTCACTTTTGAGAAGAACACAATATCCGACAGGGACAATTTCTAACTTCCTTTAATAAAAAAAACTAATGAAATTTTGTACATCAGCAAGAAGTATGGCTTTTAATTTGAATTCTATTTAACAAGATGATTATTCTTTTGTTGACATCCTTATTCTAAGCAATCTTTCCATTAAATATTCAAGAAATGTCTGGAATTTAGGATGGGAGCTGATTTGGATATAATATTTCATTACTGGTAAATCCAACCACCCCATATATTTGAAACTCATGTGTAGACAGCAAAAATACATATCCTGTGTATCTTTCAGGAGATATGACTATTCAAATTATTGGTGAACTAAATTTGTGTGTGTGTATATATATATATATATATATATATATATATATATATATATATATATATATATATATAGATAAACCTAGTGAGCCAGACAAACCTACCCAGGTTTCACCTAAGTGGATCGTCAGGAAAGCTGGCTAAAAAGCAAAGGGAAACGCATATTTATATATTGAGCTCTTTTGTTTGTTAGTTGTTTACTCGTATCGGGGTTTTTTCTTTGGGCTTCAAACCTGTATCTGTGCAATGTTTTTCGACAGACTTTCATGTTTCTAGCTCTTTCTTTTTTTAAAACCTTTTTTCCCTCAAGATTGATTTGATTATTGGCAAATCAAAAAATTCAAGGGTTTTTCGAAATGAGTATAGTTACCTATATTTGTATTTATAAATCTCTAGGTTACTCTATAGTTACCTATATTTGTATTTATATATATATATATATATATATATATATATATATATATACACACACATATCTATCGGTTTCACAGAAATATATATATATATATATATATATATCAGTTTCACATACATATATATATATATATATATATATATATATATAAAATAGTCATTCAAAGAATAAATCAATAAAGTTAATGTGAATTAATCGTGAACTCACTTTGCTAACAGATTAAAAAGGTATTAACTCACTGACCATTTACTGAATGACATGATTATATGTTCAGTTCATATTGCTTGCAAGTACTTTTGGTAAAAACATTTACCATCCTCAGCCATAGAAGTTATTTTTTTTCTCAATTGCAGATAATTTGGGGTAAAATTCTAAGATGAATGCCAGTTCATAAAATATAACTTTTCTTCACCGGTAGCACAAGCTGGAATTTCATTCTATCTTTTCTTTTTGAATTTTTTTATATTTTAATTATTTTAATAATAAATATATAATTACTTACATTTTTGAATTATGGCTTTAAACATCATTATTTATTATTTTTTATGTCATATTTACTTTTTTTTAGAATTTCACCTACGATGTTTCTCTATGAAAAATAAGTTTTGAATCTTGTTACACAAAATTTGATATTCTGGAAATGTTTATAATACAACAGCATAAAGTTGTTGGTATCAAAATCAACATCTTTTATGTGTCAAGTCCTGTTAAGATGTCAGCAGTCATGGCTCTCTACATTTTCCAGATTTCACTCACTATGAAATCTTTTTCTTCCTCTTCTGCCATCTGTTTATGCAAACTCATTAAGTAGGTTACTCACTGTTTCTAAGAAATCACGTATATTTTGATTTCCGTAGTGGGGGGGGGTCAGTTTTTAGTGATTTTTTTTTTATGGGACACACATGTCACTATTTTTGCTGGCAGTGAGAACTAAAGAAATGACTTAATCTCTGTTGACTTGAACTATAACACTCGTCTAAAATTATTATTGTGATTAATTTACTGAATAAAGCAGGATACTTCATTTGCTTTTTTTAACCAATGATAATTTAATTGCTTTGGTGAAATAAGAAAAATAATAAATGATGGTGTATAGTTACTCGACTTACCATTTACCAGGCTCCTAAAGGAAGATGGCACTTTGAATAAAACATTTGAATAAATGGAATTTATAAACATGCAGACACTGCTGATAATTATGCTGGTCAAGAATTCAATCTGAATCATTATTTTCTGTCTTGAAAATGAAATATGTTTCTCATACAAAATGTTGATAATTTAGCAAAATTTATTGTGGACAGATAAATCCAAATTTGAAGTTTTTGTTGTAAGAAAACCCTGGAGAAAGACTGAAAAATAAAAGCAAATACAATGTTGTTACTGAAATTTTATTTTCACTAAGAAAAACCAAAAAAAAACCCCCAAAGGTATTTCATTTTAGGTGTTTTTTACAGAAATTAAAAGTGTCTCCAAACTTTTTGCCTGTATTGAACAATTTTCAAAAATTTAAATGCAAAGTCAACCGCCGTGAGGCAACAGCCTGATTCAAATACCTCCCACATTTTAAAAGGACCAAGGTAATTGTTATTAAAAAAATTATTTCACTATTGTTTAAACAAAGGGCGATAATTTTTATTCATTTGGTTTTAAAAATGATATTCTCTAAATGGCAACCTCTATTCGTCATACACTGCTGTAGGCGATTTTTAAAGTTTTCCATTGCCTGGAAGTTCAAATGTTTTGAACGTGTGAGCCTAAACTT